TATCGATGGATATTGGTTGGCTATGCGGTGTACACGGAGAATCGGAAAAGAGAGGAAAAAAAAGACGTTACAGAGATCACCACATTAAAATGCTTATGCGCATGCCAACTAAATTCTATGCGTACATACATTTTATGTTGAATATATTTTTGTCTCTTTCTGAATGTGACGAGTGCTCGTCGGCGATGTATCGCATAAATAATATATAAAATGACTGCTGTTCGAAGAAAACTAAAGCGACAAAAAAAACATTCAATCTGGTAATGAGTTTGTGAATGTTAGGACAAAATATGAATAGAGAAATTATCGAGTGACGGCCTGAAGCGAAGAAATCAGCACACGTCATTTTACAAAGAACGAACGTATATTGATGACCAACAAGATGATTTTTTCTGCAGATTTTTGGAATAAACACTTTTTTGAGCTGTGTGCGATTAAATAAAATGCACCAGTACAACTAGAGCGTTCTACTCCATTTATCATGATTTCAAAGCCGAAAACCATTGTCTTTTGAATATTGCAGTGAATGTTGAACAATATGTGAATATGAGCCATATCGAAAGCATGCGAATAATACGATTATGAATCGACTTGATTGGCGTAAAAAATTTCAATGAAATCGAAACAAAAAACAAAATTCTGCTGGATAAAATTGTCGTTCTATGTACAAAAAAATGGAGGTTTCGGACAAAATGTTGTAATTTTCTACTGACAATCCACTTAAAAAGTAGCATTTTTAAAGGCATCCCAATGGCAACTGTTGTGATTGATTCCTGCATATGTTTTCTATTCAATTGAATTGAAATGCATTGTCATCGAAACGACAACCAAATTGAGGGAATGAAAGAAGAACATCGAAGCTAATTGAAGAGAGAGAGAGAGATAGAGATAGATAGACTAAACGTATTCTGTTAGTCACAATCATTTGTCGAGTACTACGTAGATACATTGTTTCAATAGCAAAAAGGAGATGTAAACAAATTTCACTATACGGTGATTGAGCAGAAGTCTGTCTGTGTTTGATTTGGTGGCCAGATGCTCGAAAACTAAACCAAATAATAGTAATTCATAACGCCAACGCAATGCAAAAAATAACAACTGAAAGGGTGAAATCGAACAAAACCATTGTTATTGAGTCGTTAGAGAGAGGTTGTTCAGCTAGATGATGGTTAAAATGGTTACAAAACAATTCATGCGACATTTATCGTCGGAAAAATGAATTTCAGGTCTTCGATACACATTTTGAATACATTCTCCAGCTAAAAAAATCTAAATCTTTTGCTAGTTGCCGATCCGTATTATTCTTTGAACTTTTTTTTCAGATAAAAATTCTTTTTTAGTTGAAAATCTCTTCAATTACATTTTTGTCACAAAAAAATGGACCTGGCCCGAACTTGAAAGATATTTAATTGAGCGCTGTTGCGAAAAATTCCATCCTGTTTCCAAAAAATGTCTATTATTTGTATTGTGAGGAATTTCAAATAAAGTGACATGTGAATAGAATATCTTGCAACAATGAAAAGAAAGGAACTGGAAAGGAAGTGTCGCCAATGTGACTGTATCTATAACTATTCAAAATCATTTTTCGCATTCAATATTTTTTTACACCTACCATTGAATTTGTGTCAAAATATTTGTACTATCTATTCGTTGGATGGAAAAAAATCCGAATATAAAATCGAAATCAGTTTCAAAAAATGGTCAATGTTCAAAATACAATGTTGCTAAAAAAAATTACGAGAATGCTGATAACGTAGGACAACTGTCTTTTCTCTACTATACCCAACTGAGTTGATAACATGCAAAATGGAAAGAAAGTTTTTTTTGTTTAGTGTTGGATCGTCAAGCTATGAAATTGGCCTAAAGCGATTTGGAAAAATAGTGCAAAGGCCACGACGAAAACAGAAGAAAAAAAACAGAATTGATTTCAATCTTAATCTCTTTACGTTTCGGCCATTGTGTTTGACATCGCATTATACGGTTTTCTATGCATTTTGAAGTGGGAATATGTGTTAATTTTCCAAGCGATCTCAAATACGTGACCAATGAAAGACAGTGTCGACTTTTTTAAGCAATCAAATATTTGATGATTTGACAAAGAGCGAATTGGTAACGCTATTCAAAAAACAATGAACGAAGCAAAGCAAATATTCTCTTATTTGCACACACAATCAATAGAAATGGAATAAATATGTTTTGCCACATTTTTGACTACTATAAAAAATCAATAGTTTGTACTTATAAGTCTTTCAGCTCTTATCATACGATGCACTAATATATTGTTGTCTATCGGATGATTATCGAAATTGTTTTTCACTTTGTTTGAACATTACCGAAAAAATCTTGTTCAAACATGAAAATCTATTAAAAAAATGTCATCGGCTTACGATATGAATTATTTACTGTGCTCCTTTTTCGATGTTGACTAATCTGGTTGTGATGCATACTAAAATAACAAACATATGACACATTGTTAAACTGTACGTGGTCAGACAAAACAATGGTTGGGATTTAGATGGGCCATCACTTGATAACAAAGCGATTAATGCATCAAATGTGATCAATTTTCAAGACGACTTACTTTTACAGCCAAGTTGGGCTGATGCAAAATGATATTCTACGTATTTTAGTCAATTTGATTTGTGTTTGATTTCTTTTTTCGTTACTGAATAATCACGTCATTCAAATGAGGAAAGATAATAATCAGAATAGTTGGGCACGTGCTGTATATATTGAAAGTAAAATTTCATACTTAAAGCAATGACATGAGCAATTATTCCCGCATTAAATTGCGTAAACTTGAACGATTTGTCAATATAGATTTTCTAAAAAAAAACGTACCCATGCATATTCAAAGTCAGCCAAGAAAAAGGTCTCCCCTCCAATTTCTTTTGCTTGATGTCATTTTCAACAGTTTTTTTTTGTTGAAGACTGACCCTACTTATGCGTTTATTTTTCTTTCGCTTTTGCTCAGTTTTGATGCAGCTTTTCGGTAGTCTTTTTTATTCTTGAAATTTAAAGACATTCAGCTATACACCTTTGACCTATGACACATCAGTGATTCTTAACGATCTTCTGTGAGAGTCTGCTTGTTCATAAACATTTTTATTGAAATTGAAAATTTATTGACAATGATTTGGCAAAATTTGAATACAACCATAGTCAACCTTTTGACATAAAGGCACACGACTCAAAATTTGGAGTCACCACCACAACATAATCATCATAGTTTGGCAAAGATACAAATCGTTGAATGGTCTCTAGAGCATTCAAAAGAATTTATCGGCCTCATCTTAAGAGAGTAATTGAATGAGAGTTGAATGTTGTCTTCTCTCATAAAAAGAAATGAAAAAAGTGAATTGATCGTTATGAAATGTGAATCAAATATACAACGAACCATGATACAACAGTTTTTTTTTCGCTTCGTGCTAATTTGTGGGTGTTCGTGCACATTTTCAGCATATTTGGATTTTTAAATGAATTGATTACAATACGTTCGAAAATTATTTGAAAAATGAATATTTTTCAAAAAATCAACCAAAAAAAAATATTTCGAAGCATTTGGCAGTAGGTGCAACTGAATCGTCGATGTGTACAAGCTACGAAAGAGTACCACATGTATTAGAAAATTTTAAATGATGACCCGTGCCATCAATTGATTTTCAACAAAAGAACTGAAAAGCAAAAAAGAAATCAAAAAATGTCCCCGTAGTCAGAACACGCACAAAAACTATGCTTACAATCGCTAAATCGTTGATTATAAGCCACAAATACAGTCACGTAAAGCGTTAGATATGAAAAAAAAAGAAGAATTGAAAATAAACATCTGGTCCGAGATTGAATGAATCTTGTTTGCGCCCAACACGGTATTTATGGTTTTGAAACTGCAGCCCATGTATAGAATTGACAGCGCTAAGTCCAACGGTCAATGCCACACATCCAAAAACCTACTAACTGGGTAATTTGTAACACTTTATTAAGCGCTGAACGAAGAAAATCGGAACGTAGCACGATCAATGAAATATCAAATAATAATAGTACCGAAAAAAATATTGATCAAACGAACGAATGTGAAGAAAGAGAGCGAAGAGAGGATGTAAGTTTTTTTTTCGAAAAAAATTGTGATAAATAGACAGTCAAAAGAAGAAAAAAACAACAATAAATGCGAATCAAAAGGAAGAAAATCACTAATAAGGTATATAAAAAGCGATACAGCATGTCCAGTTTGAACAACAATACGGCATATGCAAGCAAAAAACGGTACGTATTGAAATAAAAAAATGTCTCAAAAGAAAATAATAGAATCTCCCGTCGACTTGTGATCAAAAGGACTTTAGGTCAGCTTACCTAACCGATCTGCAATGAAATGATATTTTGTGTGCCATTTTTAGACCCATTCACTTACTGTATTCTCGAGGACTTCTTAAAAATCCATCGATTGCATTGCAGAAATAAAAGTGCGAATGATTATCTGGGCCAATTTTATTTCAATAAAAAATTGGCAATACGAATTTTAGATCTACGATACTTTATTGGCGTGTATCAGATGATTTTTTGCAATTCTTCAGTAATTTGATCCACACAATAAACGTTGACGTTCGATCGAGATTGAAAAGCAATCGTAACGGTTGTGTGCAAGACGATTTAAACGTTGTTGTACGTTTTTTTTCTCCATAGACAATAAAGACTTCGTTTAAAGAGACAAACGCCAGCATTGAATGCACGAATCAAAAAGAATATTCGGTGTCCTGCTTCGATATGTTTACTTTAGAATGTCTTGCATGATGTAAAAATGCAATTTATCTTTCTGTTTCTTTATTGTCGTTTCTTTTGTGTAAAGTTCGGTGAGTTGACCTGTGATCAGTAACGCAAATACAATCGCACGCGTCACAAATGATTTCAATTGTCCTTTGCTCTGTTCTTTTCAATTGAGCGCCAAATATGTTCATCTTTACGAACACGCACAATATTTATATTTCTCTTTTGTAATAAACACAAAATTCTATAACGGTTTTTATTTGGTTCATTTTCAACCCATAAAACATACACTTTTTTGGTTTCCAAATTATCGATTCACAGATAAAATCATCATTTTAATATACAAAAATAGAGTTAATTTGTAATTTAGAATAATGGCTACTCGATAGCAATGTGTCGAATTTTATCCTTGAGCTCTTGAGTTGTTTAATATTTCTTCTTTGGACATTTTCTCCTGTTTTCGTACCAAATCATAATAGTATCCCTTTTGATTCATTAGACTATCATGTGTTCCTTGCTGAAAATAAAATTAAGTCATATTCATCGTTATATATCCGTCTATTCAGATTCGAATGGAGAATATTAGGAAGCGAAGAGTACCTCTACAATTCTTCCTTGATCCATCACAACAATTAAATCAGCATTTCTTATGGTAGATAAACGATGTGCGATCACTAAAGTCGTTCGACCTTCCATGGCATTGTCGAGCGCCTTTTGAACTATTGCCTCACTCGATGCATCCAGGGCACTGAAATTACAAGTCGCATTATTTTAAAGTACAATAACTGTGCATCGAAGTTAAATATCTATAATTACCTGGTGGCTTCATCTAAAATCAAAATAGTTGGCTGTTTCAGTAATGCTCTGGCAATGGCTATTCGTTGTCGTTGTCCGCCACTCAGTTGAGCGCCTCTTTCACCAACATTTGTATTATAGTTTTCATTCAATTTAGTAATAAAATCGTGTGATTGTGCTAATTTTGAAGCGGCATGAACCTCGTTGATTGTCGCCAATGGTCGTCCATAACGAATATTTTCTTTTAAAAAAAACAGTTTTTTAATGAATTTTCCCCTCAAAGTCGATCCATTTATTTTCTTACCTAAAATTGTTGTTCCAAAAAGGAGCGGTTGTTGCTCAATAAAGCCAATTACCTCAGCCCGTAACCAGTAAGGGCTAAGAGTTGACAGTGGTTGACTGTCCAAAGTAATTTTTCCTTCATTTGGTTCGTAAAATCGCTCCAAAAGCGATGCAACTGTGGATTTGCCAGATCCACTGGCACCGACCTAACGTAAACATATTTAAATGAATGTCATTTCAGTTAAAATGAAAAAGCAATTTATACCAGCGCAACTGTTTGTCCTGGCTTCAATACCAAATTGAAATCACGTAAAATTATTTGATCAGGACGGCTTGGATATGAAAATGTTACATTTTCAAAGCGAATTTCTCCATTCAATTTGTCAAATGGAATTGTTGATCCACTAATGAGATCGATTTTTGGTTCGATTGCCATATACTGCAAAGAGGAAAAAATTAAAATTAACAAGAAATATAACGAAAATCTATCAATACCTCAAATACGCGAGAACCGGCTGTCATGCCTCTAATCATGGTCCCTAATAAAATTGATCCTTGTGAAAGCGATCGTTGCACTCCTTGGGAAGCAACTAAAAATGCCATTAATTGTCCAGCGGTTATGTCATTGCTTGCCATTAAATTACCGCCTAAGAAAAGTGTTGCCAAAACCATCCTGAAAAACACTTGCACGTCAAAACAAATTCACTTCAAAAGTGAACTAGCTTAAATTACCCGTTTAAAAATAAGTTGGTGAGTGCTTGGAAGACAGCAATACCAACACCTAATTTTTCCGATAATATTGCAGCTTCATTTGTTTCCTTTCGGAATAATTCAATCTCGGAAAATTCACATGCACTCGAACGGACAGTGCGGATGTTTGACAATGCCTCTTCACACACGGCGGTTGCCTTTTCAGATTGGGCTTGTGATTTTTTGCTAAGCGCACGTAACATACTGCCCAAAAACGACATGAAAGCCACCGCAAATGGAACAGACACCAAAGCGACCGTGGCCAATTTTGGTGAAATTAAAAATAATGATATGCCACCACCTTTGAAAGAAAATAAAGTTCAAATTCATCCATCCATATTTTTAAATTGGTTAAATTGTTTACCTATAAGTTGAGCGATACTACGAAGCCCTTGCGACACGCATTGTTTGAAACATGATTTAAAATCTTGAACGTCAGCTGTCAATCGATTGACTAATTCACCGGTTCGATTTGCGTCAAAAAATGACAAGTCTTGTATGATAATCTTCTTGAAAAGATCTTGTTTGATTTTGGCTGCCATCGATTCGCCGATTTGACTCAACAATAAAATGTATAAGAAAGTGAATCCCGACTGAAGCATGTACATCCCAAACAAATTCAATGCCGGCGTTTTCATATCCATCAGAAATTGTTTAGCATCAAAGTCTTGCAGATCTCCAACTCTGGCATACCGGCTCAGCGCATTCACAAACACACCCAATAGTTCGGGAATTTTTATATTGAAATAAGCCACAGCAAGCGCCGCCTATAAATTAAATGAAAAAAACGAAATGGATTTAAAAACAATGAATCACATCAAAGTACGTTTAATTTACTAACAGCAATAGCACCGAGAAATTTTAGCAAATATGGTTTTAGATATTGCCAGAACTGGTGCCAGTCAAACGCCACCGAATCTTTTTTAATGGCATTCGTCTGATAACCTAACATAAATGTATTTTAATGAATGTTTTATTCAGAGAAAGGCATAAACACGTGCAATTCATACCTGCCAATCTATTTGCGCTACATGATACAGTAAAGCGATTGCATCGAAACACCAATGCTAAAGCACCCGTACCGCCGACCACAACTTTACCAAATGTTGACAATTTGGATGATACGTTTGGTTTTTTCGGTACACAGTCGGTGAAAAATCGCCTCGTTGAACATTTTCCGAAGGGATTATTTAAATGTAATGACGAATGGAGCTTTGTTGGTACGGTTGTGTGCAACGAGCTAATAAAATGTAAACACAGATTATTTTCAATTACTTGTTAGCCTTGATACGTAATCTTATTAGAACAATATTCACTGCTGACGACAATTACCTGCCCAATGTTGGTACTTTGAAACTATTTCCTATTAAAATTCGCAGCATGGTTGATTCACCACATGCATAAATGATTAAAATTAAAAAAATAAATTAAATAATCCAACACTTGTATTTACAATTGGAAAAAACCGACTTGTCAATAATGTCAATACTCTCCTTATGTTTTCATAATGTTTCGACAAATGTCGAAGAATGTTAAAAAGAGAAAGTATTTTGATTAGAATGAGACCACTGTATGTGGCCACATGTTGATTTGTTTATTATTATTTCTTGTCTTATATCTCAATTTAAAAAGAAGTAAATCTAAAAAAATCATCAAAATATGAGTAGAAAACAAACAATTTGCTGTAAAAAATATTTCAAAAAATTAAACTATCGTAGCAAAAGGCTTTACCGTATGTTTTACTTAATCGCTTAAGTACGATTGACATATTCGGTTCTTAAAATACCAGTGTGTACGAGTAAGCCATATAGTGGAATGCAAGCAACACATATAAAGTCGTTGTTTTGTTTGTGTTATTAAACAATTTCATCATCGCACGACAAAAGGTACGTACAAAAAAAAATCTTTTCTCGGAATTTTTTTTTCGTAACGCATCAAATTCCAGTTTTGTAATTTTATTTCCATTTGAAAGTAGGAATTGTTCCAGGAAAAAAGTATTTTCTGGTAAATTTTGGGTTATTAATTAAATAAATCGAACATTTTGTTCATAAATTGGTGTGTTCTATTTCTAAATAACAGGACTTTGAAAACACGTTGTCAAAATGGAGCCAATAGCAGCACCAGATCAAGAGCCAATGGATCCCAATCCACCTCCAAATCTACCTCCAAATCCACCTATTCCACCTCTCTCTCCCGAAACAAAATTACTTCGTTTTTTGCATACAGGCACAACTTCCAGTTCAATACCAGTCAAAATTGATCTAGAATTGGAACACATCAACACCACATTGGCTTTTGTGATCCTAATGGCACGACAAAATCTACTAAGTCCAATTGAATGCATTAAAACGGTAATAGAAAAATGTTAGTCAATAAATATGAAATATTAAATTGTTATTTTTTTATTAGGTGTATCAAAATAAATCGTATATTCGTATCAACGAGGTTCTCGTTGCATTGGCCTATTGTGCAAAACAAGTGGAAATTGAAAATCTACGAACGGCTGCAAACACCGCCGCTATAGACCTCGATATGGGTCAAAACGACTTTTTGTATTTTAACAAATATTGCGCAGAGATATCAGTCGTTTTACGCGGTCAAAACCAGTTAAACTATGGTCACGGCATGTGCCGAGTAGTTGAAAAATGGTATGCCAAATTCACTGCGGAGCAATTGGCAAATATGTTTGGTGAACATCGAAGTTTGCACGGTTTTACACATCGTTCAGTTATAAAACTAAGTCACTTCCGTACAAAAAAACCGGACACAACAAATCCAGCAACAGAAGATGATGCTATACCATCAACGTCAACACAAACGACACAAACACGTGCTTCACCGCCCGAACCAGCAGATGAAGAATTGCTTGATCGAGAACAAGTGTTCAAGTTCATTCATGTTCGAGGCACACAAGAATACTTTAAATACTTGGATACACAACCCCATATCGGTCCCGCTGCAAAACGTTTGAAAACAATTGAAGAACTCAAAGTAAACGAAAATGTCGATACTGCGATTCAATCCATTCGTGACAACCAATTCACTATCGAACAATTACCAGCGCATTTGTTAGAAACGGATAGAGTTTGGAGAGAGATTCTAGAATATGAAAAAAGTACGCGCACTCTCTTGAAACACTTCAATACATTAAAAGATTTTAGATTCTTGAATGCTAGCTACACGCCTGACTTCGCGACTGACTTTTTAAAGGTTTTTGGTTCAAATAAAACTGCGTTCATTGAGGAAAACATCTGTCCCGTTTTTTTGTACATTTTTAAGCAATTGTACTCAAAAAATATACGGCATCTTGGTACAGAAAAGGCCAGGTACTACAAGCAAAAGGTCGAAAAACGTAACATTTCCACCAATAAAGCGATTGAAAAACGCTTGGATAGTATGTTTGAATTAGCTTTGTACAATGCCAAACCAATAAATGCAACGTTTATGATCGTTATGGATCCACGCAAAGGCAATCAAAAAAGTAAGCTAATATTATTGCTTGTAAAATGATTTGTACATTGATTAATTGTTTGCATTTTCTTCTTAATCAGGGACAGTTGTACGTAACAAGCACATCACCTGCTTCGAAGCATCACTCGTATTGGCATATTCCATCTTTCAAAGAGAAAACGATGCTCTTGTGTACACGTACACCGATAAGAAAGACAAACTCAACGCCATCGAGTGGCCCAAATTGAAATTTGCAGAGGCCAGAAGATTATTCGAAGATATAGTATGAACAAAAATAGACCATCTTTTAGTGCTTTTTTCACACACACACACAATTTATTTTTTCATCTATATAGGTAGAATCCACACAACGTACAGAACAAAGTTTGGCACAACCCATTTTGGAGGCAATAAAATTGAAGAAAAAGGTTGACATGTTTTTGGTTATTGTTGATTCGGTTGCTCGTTTCTGTCGACAGGGACAGGTTCCCGTTGAAGAATTCCAAAAATATCGATCAGAATTCAACAAACATGTAAAGTAAGTAGCGCATCCAATTATGAATTGATTTGTTCTAGAAATATCATTTGTAAAATGTTATTCATATTTAAATAGGTATGTTGTTTTAAATTTATCACGTCCGACGCCCGATCTAATAATACCCCAAGGCGATGATATGAAAGGGTTCTTCGAGATTTGTGGCTTCAACGAGAATACACCGAAAATTCTCAATGCATTGGCAAGTGATAGATTCACATAGAGAATAGAAATCACCTAGAGGACACAATTTTTCCGTTACATGCCTTAAAATTCATAGAAAAATATAAACTTTTTATTTAAGTTATTCGAGAAACACCTATAAATAACTGTTATCACCAAGAAACTTCGGTATTCTTATTACAACCGAGGCGGTTGAAATAATTTTCAGTTCAATGAAAATAATTTGTTAACGAAAAACAAAACACACACCGAAAATGCATTAATAACAGTAGAAAGAGATAGTTAAAATTCATTTACAACAAAAATAACATATTTATCAAAAACAAGGAATCATTTAAGAAGAAAAATTAACGAACACAGTCGTTAAAATAGAAAAATAGGTCTTTTAAAAACCATCAACAATTCGTAGGGGTTTTTGTTAAGTTTATGTTCTTGGTTTGATATTATTTCTTTTAAATTTCATTCACATCGTTGAGAATCTACCAGCTCTTAAAGCAACATAGAGATATTGAAACAGTATTGTGATAAAACGATCAAATGGAGACAAACGTGAATATTTAAAAAACAAATATGTTAAACATAAAAAAATTCAAAGCGGAAAACCATATTATTGTGCAAAAAAAAAGAAATGAAATATTTTTTTCATTTGAATTTCCTTAAATTGTACTCATTCTCCGGAATGAATGAAATTATTTTTAAGCATTAAAACAAAAAAAAAATCAAAATAGCATAAAAATTCAAAGCACATATTCAAAAGTCAATCAAAATGAAATGACACAGTGTTCAAACAAATTTTTGTAACATTAATTGAATAAATACTGCCACAAGCTGACGGTCTAAAATGTTCTAAATCAATTCTGGTGTTTGAATGTTGCGAATGTGATCTTAAGTTGTCGAAGGTTTGAAGGCTCCATGCCATGAATATCATTGAAAAAATGAATACGCTGATACGCACTAAGCGAATATGACACAGATGTTAAGTCATTATTTACAAAGCAAATATTACATTGAATGACCAAAAATCGTGTGTAATGTCAACCTCAAGGCCACCTTGGTTTATGGTCATTTATCTAGCTTCAACGCAATATATAAATGTTACTGCTATAAATAAAATGGAATGGATACATCTTGGATTTGATGCAATGAAAGCATGAGAAACCAATAACCTTGAACTCAAAAATCAAAATAACACTAACACGTACACGTATGCGTCAATAATCGTACAGTGCACAGTCACCGGTGCATTTACCATCATTGAAGGAAATAAGAAAATAAAAATGGTACACTTATTCTATTTTAATGAGAGAGAGAAAAGCGGTACATTGGCGTCGGTGAATGCTTTTGAACACGAATAAAGAGCAGACAATGCGTCATTTGGAATATAAAGTGAACGATTCTCGTATAACCGATAAAGTGCTTTATAGAGACGAATAACGATTTGTGAGATTGTGTGAACTTGAAACCACAAATATTGTCGTAGAAGCTACAAAATAGAAACCGATACATTGAAACATGGAACACTGTGACTATAATGAGTAAATATTTTCCACATCCCACATACAACGGCACTTGCTCGCGTTATTCATGTGTTATATTCGTGCTATAAAGTGGCTGAGCCGCTAATATGTGTATGCTTTATGTATTCCCTCCCAATGAGTAAACAACATTTATGCACATGGTCAACAATGCGTTCACGTGTACCAAGACCGATGGAATACACAGTTTTGAGATATAGTCAGATATATCACTATTTTTTTTTATTCTTCATTTACATAAATCACAAGCACAAGCACATACACGCGCAACTGGAACCATACACTGAAAACGCATACGTTCGGTACGTTTTTAAGAAATATTTCAGATCCATTTGGTAAACACGTTCCAGTATCGTTGAAACGCTTAATCGTTTAACATGTAGCACACTTGTTTGCTCAACGATATAGCAGCTGACTCGAGAATTATATTTGATGCTGCTCAATCAGTTCGCGACAAGAGCAGCACATAACACTTACCTTTTCTACATTTTTTTTATATTCAATTTGCATTTTTTTCTCGTTAATCTCGCGTTGGTTTACTTTTTACAATATGAATAATACACGAATCAAGGTGTGTGTGTCTCTCTGTGTGTGAATATATTCTTAAAAGATTTGTGTTGAGCATTGATAAATCTGTTTTATTCAAAGTGTAATCATAGCTGTTACGTGAGCAAATTTTCTTTTTAAAAGAATATTTTTTTATGAGGAAAATATATAAGAAAGAATCAGTGAGTTGAATGGAAGATTTTTAACAACGTATCATTGCATTCCAAAGCGTGAATAAGTAATGTTAAAAAGTAGAATTAGCGATTGTGAGAAGAAGCAAAAAACGACGCAATGCCGAAATCGTTTCATTCCATTTACGCTCATTGGCGAATAAAATGATTCTATCTCTTGTAGCCTTGCATAAAATACGTCAAAATATTCTGGTTTTACCACTTTGAGTGAAAAAAAAATAACCGAAGACAAAGAGTTGTTGTGGTTTCTTCGGTTCAATGCTTTCGCATATATATTCGTGCTTATATCTTACTTGAAATTTTGTTCGCGAGTGCATTTTTGTTATTGCTAGCAAACCTTGTGTCCATAAAGAGCCAGCCATTCATATTTTTCAATCGCCTTTTTTTCAACGCTATAGATTTTAAACAATATATCGAGACACAGTTGGCCATTCACTATGTGCGATTAGTTATGAGAAAGACTTCATTCGCGTATGTGTCAACTAACGATAATGACTGTGTACTTTGCCTGTGATTTTCGTTTGTTGATTTATCTTTATTAGAAATGATTAAAAATAATCAACACATATAAACCACAATTTACAAGCATTTTAAGTCGCTTGAACAATCTACACGCAGTCAATTAAATCTAAATCAATAAACTGAAAAATAGACGAGAAAATTGTTGCCTATTTCTTGAATAGCAAATGAAAATCAACGACAACAATGTGATCGAGTCGTGAAACAGCAATTTTGAGAAAAAATAAAATTACAACGCACATTTTTTTATAATGGAAGTGTGTCTCATCAAGAAATATATGTGTATATTTGTGTTTAATGTGATTTTTACAGATCTTTGTTATATTATTTACCGGCCAGTGCTTTGTTGTTGAAATTGCTTGTTTCTCAAAGATAAAGTTGTGAATGCCTAAAAATATGGATCAAGGGAAGTGTAACCTTCAATTAAACGCGTAATGACCATGAACACTTGAGATCTTGTATGAAATTCAAAGAGAATGGCTGCAGCCATAATTCCAGTAACGCCGGCGATGAATGCTAGCTCACTTTCGGTGTCAGAGTGTGAAACCATTGAACCGTCTGTGTTGTCAGCGACCTTTTTCATTCGACGAAAAGAGTATAGTGTGTATTTAGATGCTGAAAAACTAGTCTGGGAACGTACGAAATCGAAAAATGATCGAAATAGTGTATTGATTGAAAACATATTAGCCATTAAATCGCAAGTCAGAAAATCGTCGTCAGTGTCTGAAACACAACAAAATTCTCACTCAAGTGTGGAAACCGATACACCGTCTAACATAAAACAATTTACGATTTTTTATGCAAAACGCGTCGAAAACTCATCAAACCCTAATAAATGGCGGAATTTATCTCAAACATTCCAAAATAATGATATTCAAGTTTGCCAATTATGGATACAAACGCTACAGCGTCAAATCAGCGGTAAGATATTGATACACCTCAATTCTTATTCATCTCTATTTTTAAGAACTAAATTAAGTTTTTTTTCGCCAAACAAGAAAAACTGGTTAAAATTGATAAAAATATGCATGAAAAATAGAATCGACTTTCACTTGAAAATATTTTCAATATGTATTGCGGTTAAGTAATGACGTTGAATAATTCTCAGTTTAATCTCAACCGCGTAATAAATACTCAGCTATTGAGATTGACCGGTTTTTTCTCTTTTTTTGCATGTAAAACGATCGTGCGTCATTGCAAGTTGAGTAAAATTGTGCTTTTCATATGAAAAAACACAGAAAAATATTATTTTAGTATCGGTCATGAATCGTGATTTCCAAATGTATACGGTCATTAAATATTATTATTGTTTTTGTTGTAAGAGTCTTAAATTTTTATTATTCATATGGAAAATGTACGGAATTGAGCTTCGAAATTAATAAAAAACAATTTGAATAATAGTCGTCCAAAGGACCATAGACTACTATAATTTTCTGACTTAGGAACTAAATTATTACCAAATGATTATAATAACCTTTCAGATATTGAAGTGTCATCGAATTTCAATCAAATTATATGTTCGTTTTGTTTGAAAAGCCAATATAGCACAATAAATATGTATAAACATCATCGGACAGGAAATGTTGAAACTGTTTAGCGGATGTAGAATGTACATCAATTTAGCATTTAATGCATTGCATTTGAAGTATATTCTTGCTGTATGTGGAACATCCCAAATTGTGTGTAGAGGTGAATTATATTTTTTCCGAGGTCATATTCGTAGAATACTTTCAACATTCACACTTGCAAATATTGGCGTTGGCTACAAAGTATCGAGACTTCATGCATGAAATGCAACTAGTTATAGCTAATAATAACACCAAACTACACAATTGACTGACCCCAAAAACGTGTGATTTACGGCACGATTTTTGTGATTCTTATTTATTCATTTTCATTTTGATAAGAGTTGTTTATCAAATATTAAATGTCTCATTACTTATGAAAAACCTGTAATTTTGAAAAGGAGATTTTGACAACAAACTATATGTATATAGTTTGATCCAATTACAAAAATAGAATATATATATTCATAACTTTGATGTATGTAGAACGATGATTACAGTAAATTAAACTGTCTGAATAACGATAATACGATCAAGTTACTTGTTTCATATCAATATACGTTTGTTTATATCATTGCAAACTAAAAATACGAATAAATGTTGACATTGCAGGTGTTTAGCATATAAGTCATAATCGCCTGTTCATACACTGAGTAATTTTGGTCGATATAGTGACCAGTTTCAGAGCAAATGTAAGTTTGTTTATAGAATTTGCACACATAAGAGAAACACATAACACTGAAATGCAATGCCATTGTCCAGAACACTAGAAATTTTATCGAAAAATATAAATAAATTTCAGACAAAATAAATATTATTAAAAAAATATTGATTGTTTGTAGACACAAGTTATTGCATGACTTAAGTTTATCAACAATAACAAGCGTTGTGCACACCGTGACAGTGCTATTTAATCGATTTTTCATGTAATTTTTATTAAATTGGAATAAGTCAATATTCTGTCGTTTGTACGTACCGAGAAGCTTATGTGACAGGATGAAATAAATCAATAGATTCTATATGACATTTGAAGTCTTTGTTTTGTCAAGCAGGACATAAAAAGACATGTCCACGGATATCATGTTTAGAGTGTATTTTGTACACATATATAATAATTATGTATCTATCTGTTACAGAGCAAGTTGCGCGACCAAGGCGGCTATTGCTGTTTGTGAATCCATATGGTGGAAAGAAGCGAGCGTTACAAATCTACGATGGAATAGTCAAACCAATATTCCAATTGGCCGGCATTGATGCGACAACCATCATATCACAACGTTCAAATCAAATACGTGACTTCATTATGACACAATCACTAGAGCATTTTGATGGAATCGTTTGCATTGGGGGTAAATGGACGGCGATGAACTTTTTTCATTGTACTGGTTCCTAAAACGAAAATTTACTTTCTATAGGTGATGGCACATTTTCTGAACTCTTCAATGGATTTATATTTCGAACGCTCAAGGATTTAGGTATGTAAAAACAAATAACACCAACAACTTTGATGCTCAAATATCGTATAATGTACGACAGGTTATGATGATATAACCAATGTAGACGAAATGCCGAAGATAAATGACAAACAACTCATTCCACTTGGATGCATTCCGGCAGGCAGTACAGACACAGTTGCATATTGTTTGAATGGAACATGTGATGTACGAACGATTGCATTGAATATTGCACTTGGTCAAGTGAACGGGTTAGATTTATCCAGTGTAAGCATTCTTACTTGAAAAGTTACTATTCCATTACTGAAATCCATTCATAATGAATGATTCATTCGATTATTTTACCATTCTGATCCATTACCATAATTCACATTACCTATTCATACATTAATTGTACTATGTTCCATGATGATAATGGAAATAGAGTGTATGTTTCCAATATTTCCATTATTCGTTTATTAATTTCCATTGCTTTCATTCTTTTCTATGTTATTCATCTCCCAGGTAAGCAATCAAAACGGACGATTGTTGAAATTTTACGCAAGCGTTATGTCGTATGGATTTTTAGGTGATGTCGCCATCGAATCAGAGAAATTTCGATGGATGGGCCCATCACGTTATGATTATAGCGGTAATGAATGAAATGAATAGAAAAGCATGTGAACTCGAACTTAACAAATTATCTTCGTCATAAAATAGGTTTTAAAAAACTGCTACTGAATCGTGGGTATGATGGTGAGGTCTCGTTGCTGGTAGATTCATTTGCAAATGATCCGTTGAAAGGTCCGGAGTGCCTTGAAAATTGTCCAGTTTGTGAAACTACAGACGAACCAAATCAAATGACTGTGATAAAGAATACAACGGAAATTATTGATGATAAATGCAACAATCACGAACGAGTCAATGCAATAGATGACGAAAATCAGCCAGCCATTCACATCGATATTCATGTAATGAATGCAAAGAACAACACAAAAGAGAATACGGATCAATGTCAATATGTAAAAACCATTAATGGCAAATTTTTTATGGTGAATGGTGCAAACATCTCCTGTGCATGTCCCCGATCGCCAAATGGATTTTCGAAATTTTGTCACTTGTGCGATGGCTACATCGATTTAATCCTAGTACGACACACATCATTTTTGAATAATTTACGATTTTTATTGGCTATGTCGTCAGGTCGAAATTGTAAAATTGTAAGTTTTTTTCGTTTATTTTTCATCTCCTTAAACTCAATTTTTATTTAATGTGTTGAATCTAAAATGAAATGATATCCCCTCAGACGGATTTGAATCATGTGGAAATTTATCGAACAAAAAAGTTTTCATTCAAACCAACTGGAATACAAACCGGTGCCTCTACATTTAATTTACATAGTTCTCGCGTTCCGATAAGTAATTCGAATGATACAAAGCATTCTAGTGTATGGAACTGTGACGGAGAAGTGGTTCTTGATTCTGATATTTCAATTAGGTAAGAAATCATTTGAATTATGTAAACAAGTTATCGAAAATTTGCATCAAATACTATGACACACTTTTTTTTCTCTTGCAGATCACATCGTCGCCTTATAAACGTTTATCGAAGGGGAATGTTTAATGCTCAAAAAGATGCAGTTGTTAATAAGAGCGAAGCCAACATTCCATGTTGTTGCTAATATTATAAGTCCCTATTTTGGCAAAATGCTCAATTTTTTATGCTCGATATATAATATTGTGTTCTTTTCAATTGGGATATAGGAAGCAACACTTTAATAATATTAATTTAGGTGTTTTGTCGCAAAGACCTTGTGTAAAAATTGGATTGTGGATTTGATCAGATATTTAAAATGTGATGGTTTTATCGTGGTTAATATAAGAGACTTTTGAAGTAGTATTTTCTTAGCAGTTGGCCTATAAGCAATTTATCTCTATATTTCTCTTCCATTTTATGACTTTAATTTCGGATTGTTCGATTACACAAGTTAATAGTTAGTTTTAGGTTGGCTCTTGATGCCGTTATTATCGTAATAAAGTGGTATTTTGCTAAATACCTGTTTTAGGGTGCTATTCAACAAGTGAGCTTAATGTTAGCCGATGTCCAAGTGCCAAGTGAAAGATTACTTTTTTTTTACGGAATCAATAAAAATGACGAATATCATTTGAAAGAATCGCTGAATTAGTCTTTACTTCATTCTGAAACTTTATAGATAAAAAAGCTTATTTAGATGACGGCGCCCATAGTTTTTTGTGGCATGTGGAGAAATGAGTAGCACTGGAACTGGATTGGTATTGATACGTTGTGGTTCAATACATACAAACAGAAGGAAAATTCTGTTCCCTTTCTGCCCAGGCAACTCGTGTTGCCGCCGCCAATTACTTCACAATACATGAATATTTGATGTGAATAGAATTTTCTGCACATGCGCACTCCCATCCACATATTGGTATGTGTTCAACAATGGGCTTGTGTGCGTGTGGAGTTTCTAACCGCGAAATATATAAAGCAAGTTCAGAATGTTCACGGATTCAATTCGATCAGTGGTTTAAGTGACATGACATTGAAGACATCGAATAACGGTTGCAAGTCATGTATCATCATGCTTTTCACACAACAGCAACTGAACATATCGGAAATGGTATGTATATTTTAATCATTATAATTTTCCAACGAAATAAAATCAATCATCACAACGTAATAAATTAAAAATTTAAATAATAGTTTTTGAAAGAGAAAAAGTGTTTGAAAGAAGGAGAAAACGAGACAAAAACGATGTGATGAAATTCCCAGATGAATGAGAGTGTATATTCAAATGCTGACGCAATATGTACGGGGAATATCGTTGTACATATCAAAAAATTGTAACGCAAAAACCAATTACTGGCGAAAATGTTAGAGGTGTCTGTGTAACAACGTGCTCGAATGTGAGATTTTCGATGAAAATGCTTGGCTTGATAATATATTCATATATATTTTGTGCAATTGAGTGTGAGTGAAATGTGTACGGTGCACTACATAGAAGGTATGCATTTTCATTATGTTTGTGTGGACAGTGTGTGCGTGCCGTTTTTTGTTGCTTTTTTTATACTCTCTCAATCGGCCGGTTTATATAAAAAACAAATGTCATTTTAGATAAAGAAAAACTCTTTGCAATACCCAAAAATGTTAAACGCAGTTTTGGACTACACGATATTTTGATAATATATTAATCATTTATCGTTGTTTATTTACTCAAAGCATATTTATCATTTAATTGAGAAGATGCGTTTTCTAGATAGCATAATTAGAAAAACTGCATAAAAACTGCCGAATGACCCAAATGAAAAATGACTTAAATATCGTTTTCATTTTCAATCAATAACAGCGAATATTTTAAACTCCATAAATCGATATGGTTGCCGACGTGCTATTTACGAGCAATGACATCAAATTGTTGTAATTAAAGTACAAAGATTGCGTATAAAACACTTGGCAAAAGTCAAATTTAACACGTGCACTACATAAATTTGTCCATAAAAACTTGAACAAGAATAAGCAAAAATTAAAAAATCGAATGCATGGAATGGAACGCTGAATACACATTTAACAGGACAGATGTCAATAACTAAACTATATTATGTGTTTGGTCATCGGGCTATCATATAATGCTTAAAAATGTGTGTCTGTATGCGTCACTTTTTGTATGTTTGAATGCCAACTTTAATTGAATACATCGTTGATTAAGTACATAGCGTAACATTTTAATTAGCACTGCAAAAAGTGTGGGCGCGGTGATAAGAATGCATTTGTTGATTGAGGTCGCATTTTATTTGTTTTTAATTATGTCCAAATATCATACAATTCAATGATTGTGAAATATGAACGTATGAACGTGGCTATATGTTATTAAAACGACCGCTAATTTTGCGAACAAAAGTTAAATCCATTTAAAATCGATGCTTTGACTTCAGACACATCATTAACTGTGATAAGTTTATAAAACTAGACGCGCAAAATGATAAACAATTACAAAATGGAAAATAGCAATTATTGAATTTATAAAATAGACATAACTTGCTGAATGCTAGACAATTGAATCCTTTGTTTTTGTATCATGTGTCCATTGTGTACGTGATATCTATCTTGTACTTTTCATGATATTATCATTTAATAACTATATTTTAGCGATAAAACATCAAATAAAATTGATCAAATCAATTATCATGTTTTTTTATTAGAATCAAATTGATTTATTGCCATTCCATAGATACGATCATAAATAACCCTTAACGTGATTAAATTTGTCGTCGATTGTTCTTTTTTAATTGATTATTCAAAATATATTTTAAAATTCATGTGAAAGATACGTGACGATGATGACGAATGGAATAAATTATATGCAGTATTCATCTTTATTTCGCAGACTATGTGTCTGCTTCGATAAGGTTTGATTTCAAGTCATAATACTTATATTGGCGTCATATTTGTTTCATGTTTCAATAGCGGAAACCATATATTGTCAGTCGCATGTGCAAAACTATTATATTTCGTTGTTTTTACTTCAAATCAATCGTTTCCAACTATTGGGCACAATTTTCCATTGATATAAGTGACCTTAGACTAACTTTGAATTCAATTCAATTTACTATCAGCACATTTAAATCGTCTATATTTTTTTCCCAATGAGTAAAAGCTCATTTTCGTTACGAATAATGCATGCGATTCAGTCTTTTCGTTAAAAGATTTTCACCGTCTGATAAAATGAACAGACGCCAACGTTTCTTTTGTGCGTCATAAGTATGAGAAGCTCAAAACTACAAAAAAAAAATGGACGGCATTCTTCCCAGGACCACGCATCATTTTTGACACTTTTGATTAATGTGACGGAAAATTCATTCATTGTTTGGGAATGATGCAATAGTCAGTAGGTATTAATTGAATAATAAATTGTATTCATTCAAATGTGAGATTAATATGGTGCGTAAATGCAATGTCATTTATACCAAGTATCGTTTACCATTTTTATTACGCGGAAAAAATTTATAGAAAAAAAAGTATCTAAACGGGAGCTTATCCACTTTAGTGTATTTGAATGTACTACCAGCACACAGTCATTGGGGTAGCACTTGGAGGCATTTTCCCACTATGAATATAAGCGAACAGAAAGCGTAATTTGAAGCCGACGTGCACTCACAGTATACACACATTTGAGTGGAAAAATTCAGCAGGATTCAGATAACACGAATCACATTGTGTGCTCTTTGCTTGACATTGAGTTGTTCTTTCGAAGTGTCCCAACGATGGAAAGGCTCAGACATGCGCAAATTCATTGATTTATTGTTGCTTTCATATCATACTCATGGGTTCTACATGAAAACACGTGTCTTCGCACCAAACTCATTTTCCATTGAACTTCAGCCTTATTTTCCGTTTATATGTTACTAAACAGGCATTAAATTTATTAATTAAAACACCAGTCTTTGACCTTTTTTCATCCATAAATAACAACTCTCACATTTTATCATTATAAAATGTTTTATGATTTTCATGGAATTAATATCTAATCACACCAACTCGAGCTGTTTGTTTACTGAAAACTTTTCGTTTGACACATTTTGCCACCATGTAGTTTTATTGCACATTTACATGCAATGCTCTCTCTACAAAGCAAACCATTCAAGCATGTTCAATCACATATTGGCACTACATGAATTTGAAAAGAAAATGAAATCAAAGTAAAGCTTTTCAAAACTCTCCAAATTTAGAGTGATGCAATTCACTCATATCTTAACTCGACATCAACACCAACAATGATTTGTTTTATAAATAACTTTTCGCATGGATAGAATGAACTCAAATGTGCATATTTACAACTTCAAATTGCTTTATGCATACGTGAGAAGTCTAGCTATGGATTATCTAGTGGGGAATGTCGCAAAGGACGTCGTAAAAATCAAAATCGGAAAATCAACACATATTGGCCATATTTGTAAAATTGTTGTTTGTTTCTTGAATGTTCGATATATTTCTTTGATTTGCGTTCAATGCTTTTAATAAAAGATTGTCTCACTATAATAAAGAATCACTTGTATGTCAATCGACAGTGATTATTACTGTAATTATTCTGGTTTGCTAAAAACGAATATGAGCTGACAATAAAACGTCAGCAAGTGAAAAAATAATTATACTAATAATATTCTTGCAAATTACTGTAGTTTGCATCGAACACAACAAGTATTTTTTTAAGTTTTACTCAAACTCATGATTTTGAAGTAAAAAACAAACCTTCTAAAATATTGTAAAATGTCATAAAATGAGATTTCAATGACATTCCCTTTAAATAATATTTCCGAATTCAAATTTGAACAAGTGATTTCTTTAAGTACGTTCTTTTATTTGCTAACAGTGTTCCTTTAATAATATAATTGATTATGGTCCAGACGAAATTAGCATTTTAAATGATGGGCGCCAAAAATGCTTTATTCGTTATTTGGGATTTCGCCGTTGTGTTCTGATTTAAAGAATCTTGTGCATGTGATTCCATTCAATTTATTTTAATCAACTTGATCACGTTAAATTCATTGATTCGCACACTGAAACAAAACTGTGAATTTATCGTTCCTGTTTCATTCATTTCAATTTAATATGATTTGTCGTATAGTTTGTTCCGAATACGTTAATTGTTTTTTTCTTTTGTCTGTAAAAAAAGGTTCTAGTATTACTTTTCTTTAAATACTTGAATTGAAAACTGTTTTCGCGTGTAAATATTTCCTTTGAAATCATGTCTAATTGAAACTAAACCTCTGGTCTAAACAACAATAGAATTTCAATTTTGTTTTGGCACCAATTCAGCGCCATTAAAACATGAGTTCTCAGACAAACTTGGCGACCATCACACAAATTACTCATCTATTGAGCCGCACCAATGTATGTTTTCGCTTTGTAATTTGTCTGCAAACGATTTAACGATGTGTTGAGCTCTTATTCAGATTTCCTAGATTTGGTTTCACTCTATTTATCACCACGTCATGGCAGACAATTTACCAATGAGCAGTTTTTTTTTCTTCAAAAAGACAACTGTTTCGCGCAATTTAATAGAGATATTTTTCAGCTTTATCTCTGACATGTCGTTTTATTACAATTTATCAGACTCGGTGATCGGGTCCCATTATAGGAATGTTTGACCGTATTTCAATTTGACCGCATTCTCAACTGTGTATATTTTACGCATTTTCTTCAACGAATTTTGATGCGGTGTCACAAAAATGTGTCCCGAAATCACGGTGGCGACACTTTAAACCATACGTCATTTGAATAATAATTATTATTTCGTCAATTATAAAATAAGCGACGTAATCAAATGCGGCAAGTGGAAAAGTTCATTAAACTATTTTAAAATGGTCCAATTTGAAGTTGGCAACACAAACGCTTGCTTGTGCATGTTCTTTTACGTAAATTAATCGAGTGACGTGGTCAGCAACTGGTTTCATATGTCCTTTCAATAAATAATTTCATTCAATCGATAGATTTGCCGAGACACTATATCAAAATAAGCCATACAAAATATCTGACTACGAGCAAACTTTGTTATTTTTAGATAACGACACAAAATTAAGGCGACTGAACATGTACACATTTGATTCAAATCGTGATCAATTTAACTGTGTGATCGTCCGGACTGTTTATGTATTGTGCGAAGCAAATTGAATGCAGTATTTGTAGCATGTTTTATTGATTTTATACATATATTGTTCTATCGCATTGATTACATACAATTTAAGCAATCACAATGTGTGAATAAATTTGAATGCAAATTTATTTATGGATGAATAAATTTGTTAAATTGATCGAAACGTTTTCGACAGATATGGAAGGAAATTCAATCCTTTAAAACAAGTCAAATGCATATTTATGGTTATTGTTCCAATTTTCCGTTTATTGAACCAATTCAGGACGTATGAGAATGATTTCAAATCGAAAATTGTAACCCAGTGACATTTCCGCTACAAAACTGGGTTATAAATATGAGAAAAATTCACTTTCCATCGTTGGAGTTTCGAGTGATGAATCAAGCAGACTAAAAATAAACAAAAGTGATACGCCACTCAAATATGCTGTAAGTCTACACTTTTTTAATTAAATATAGATGCCGCAAAATGAGCGCCGATATATGCTATATATTGCGTACATATATAATTTGTTGGAGTGAAAACTTCTAATTGAATATCGTGCAGTGCACCAGCGGTTTTCTCTTTCATCGTAAAGCCGGCATACATTTTTAACGCTTTGATTGAAAAATCAATAAGTTTGCTGATAATAAACTGCGTCATCGCTCATGAATATTTGACAAACGATTTTCCAACCAAAATGAAGAGAAATATAAGAACTGTTTGCAAAGCAATAAAGGGGTTCACTTTAAATCGTTAAGCATGTTCATGTCATGTGTCAAAAGATGACTTCAACCTAGCTAAATGTGGTCAATTGTTCGTAATTTTTCCTATTTGACTCTCACATTTCTCTGAAACAAAGCTGATGCATACATAACGCGAATACATATCTGTAGACTCATATAGAATAGATTTTCACGTGATGAAGCATAAAAAATTGCGACGAAATGACGTGAATAAAATCTTGTTATTTTTGTCGCATGGTTTTCGTGACTGCGCTATTTTAAAGCGTAAACAAACAAAATTATATTCTTTGATTTGATTCTAGCATAATTTTAACTCTTTTACGCCTTTTTTATGGACAAGAACCAAAATATATTTTGCTTATAAACTCATTCATAAACGGCATTCGATTTCTAATGATATCTTGAAATATAAAAATATTCGTATCAATGCGCAATATTTATTAATGTCTTTGCGACCCGCCCCTGTCTGCACTACAAAACGTTTAATGACTTAATGTAAAACGATGGTTTTTGTTCTGAAATATCCAACGACAATATTATATGTGAATAATTATATTTATGCATTAAGAAGAGTAAACACTCGATTTGGTGACCAATCCAATCAAATCCTAATTACCACCCAAACGGACAATGAACTATTTCCAAAACAAAACGTCAATGAAAAAAGTATATGTTTTCTATGTATGTTGAAAGGGAGCTAGATTCAAATTATTTCATGCATACTGTGATTATCAGTGATTCGTTAATTGATATTGACACTAAGACTTACTTCGAGTAATGTGCTAGCCAGCATTTGCTGGCTAGCAGTGCTAGTGCGATACGCTCGACGCATGAAAGACGCATGTCTATGTGAAAGAAGCATTCTATATGAAGCGCTATGTACGCTCGTATTTCGATTTATTTTATCCGCAGTACTTCTGTTATGTTCATGATTTTTTTTAAATGAAAACAGCAAAAAAATAAATCATGGAATTGATTTTACTTGACTTAATTTTTTCTGATTGTTTATATCGAGATTTAAAAAAAAATATTATGTTTGAAAAAAACCTAACATCAACTTTTTTTTAATGTAAGTACGTACACAAAAACACACATAACACTCCATACACACATAATACAAGCAATAATTCTAATCTAGTACCTCTCTCTAAATTGGTGAAAAGGCCTAGAAATAAAGTGACAGAACACAGAACAAATCAGAACAACATTAATTTGTCATTGCGTAGTTCATGGTGCAACTTAAAAAATAAATATTCACGGATTCACGCTGAAAATCTTTCCCGCTGTAAAAATGTCTAGTTTGCCGGTAAGTAGAGTGCTCTTCATTTCACACTACAACAACTTAAAATTTAAAAATTTCCATACTGTCGTACATGGAAATGGAGTGAAGAAAATAGAAGTTATTGTTATGGTTATCAAAATTAAAAAGACATCCATTGCTACAATCACTATAACAATTGGTTCTATTCAGTTCAGGTCATGAACGTGAGCTCTCAGCTCTCTGATCTGAATTAGCCACATAAAAATACATCATTTTTCGTTTTATCCGTCAAATATACAAGTCAAATAGAAAAATATTGGGTTTGATGATGTGAAATTTTGCAGGAAATTGGACTTAATGCGTTTGATTGTTATTCTACATTTTAGGAAAATGTTCCTGGAACCATCGATACACCGCAAAGTGACGCCGATTCTTTGAAAAGCAATGAAGATGGCACGATTGATGCGGGCAAAAAGCAAAAACGAAAAGAATCGTTATCGGCATCGGCAGCATCAAAAGGCGCGGATAAACGTTCGAAATCTGGTTCACAGTCGAAAAAATTCTCTTGCAAAATTTGCGATAAACATTTCACAACGAAACAAGCCGCCATCAGACACAAAAAAGAACAGCACGAAAAAAATGTGAACGTGAAATGTGAATTGTGTGAAATGGTCTTCAAACGAACAAATCATATAGAACAACATCTTCGCAATATACATTACGAAACAAGGAAAATAGGTAGACCGAAGAAAAAAGAAATAGTCAAAAGTAGAAGACGTAGTCCTTTTCAGAAGACTACGTTTTATGAGCGCCATTCGACAAAACTTCAACAGGCTGAAACAGTGAAAACAATTGCAGGATCGGTGACCGAAATGAAAAAGTTATTGACGTCGCAACAAGAAGAATATAATAAAACATTGAAACATCAAGAGGAGACCATTTTAAAATTAAGAACCGATCTCGAAGAAAAAGAAAATCTTCTTCTGTTATTCAATTGTTATTCAATGATAATAATAATAATGATGGAGATAAAACAAAAAACAAACTCAAAAATAAATTCTACATGATTAAAAAAAAAACAAACAAAATCGTTTTCAAACAGTCAATAGTTTTTGGGGTTATTTGAATAGGCCTTGTAAATATGGCGTATAGACACTGACAGCCAAATGTTGCATTGAATGACATTTTATGAAGAAGCACATCATTGTGTAGCACGCTTATACTTATTAGCTCATTACAGTTTATTGCGCACAGTATTTTTAACGGAATAAGATTTTCTAAATACATATATAATTAATAAAATAAACATGCTTGCAATTGGCATCGATCTAGGCACCACCAACACAGTGGTTGCTATTTGGCAGGATGGTCATGCAAGAATCATTTCAACCACACCGTCTGTAGTCAGCCTTCTTGCACCAATTTTCTTTTGTGTGGGACACCGTAATTACGCGAACAAGATCATCGAATCGAAACGAACAATCGGGCAAAAATAAAATCGAGTTAAGCATCTTTTGTATTCCGGAAGAATTGTCAACAATGGCAAGGAGCGGCCAATGTATGAAATTGGTGGCATAAAAATTTATCCGGAGCAAGTGGCTGCTTTAATTTTGAAAAAGGCAATCGATGAAGCGGAGAAGTCAACTGGCGCGATCATTACTACAGCAGTAATCACAGTTCCTGCATATTTTGATGAAGATCAACGAAAATGTACGGAAATTGCCGCACAGCTTGCTGGTATCGTTGTGGAAAAAATAATCACAGAACCAGCCGCTGCGGCTCTTGCATATGGTGTGAAAACAAAAAACTTCAAAGAACGCGATATTCTTGTCTATGACTTGGGTAAATATGGTCCAATTTGGTCAAAAACTGTAAAAGGAGTTAAGGCCAAAAGAATCACATTTCTTTTTTATAATATAGAGATACTGCTCCATTGAGCAAACTCATTTTATAAACCCAATACTTTTCTATTTGATTTGTATATGGACAACCCAAACATTTTGATATTTTAACCCATAAAAATGTCTGGGTTGCCCATATACAAATCAAATGAATAAGTATTGGGTTTATAAAATGAGTTATCTTCACTCTGAAAAAAAGAAACATACAATAACTTTTCCGCTATCTTTAAATCTTTTACAGGTGGTGGCACACTTGACATTGCCATTGTCTCGCTGGATAAAATGGGTGTGTTTGATGTTCGTACCACTGGAGGTGATAATCATCTCGGCGGCCGTAATATCGATCAACTAATGATCGATCATATTACAAAAAATATTGATTTGGATACCCTGCCAGAAGTTAGTGAGCTAAGAAATCTATGCGCGGAAGCAAAGGAAGTTCTTTCCAACAGCGATGAAGCTAGCATTGTTGTTAACAATGAGAAGATCATTATTACCCGGGAAGAATTTGAAGACCATTTCACACAATTCACATTTCACGTTCACATTTTTTTCGTGCTGTTCTTTTTTGTGTCTGATGGCGGCTTGTTTCGTTGTGAAATGTTTATCGCAAATTTTGCAAGAGAATTTTTTCGACTGTGAACCAGATTTCGAACGTTTATCCGCGCCTTTTGATGCTGCCGATGCCGATAACGATTCTTTTCGTTTTTGCTTTTTGCCCGCATCAATCGTGCCATCTTCATTGCTTTTCAAAGAATCGGCGTCACTTTGCGGTGTATCGATGGTTCCAGGAACATTTTCCTAAAATGTAGAATAACAATCAAACGCATTAAGTCCAATTTCCTGCAAAATTTCACATCATCAAACCCAATATTTTTCTATTTGACTTGTATATTTGACGGATAAAACGAAAAATGATGTATTTTTATGTGGCTAATTCAGATCAGAGAGCTGAGAGCTCACGTTCATGACCTGAACTGAATAGAACCAATTGTTATAGTGATTGTAGCAATGGATGTCTTTTTAATTTTGATAACCATAACAATAACTTCTATTTTCTTCACTCCATTTCCATGTACGACAGTATGGAAATTTTTAAATTTTAAGTTGTTGTAGTGTGAAATGAAGAGCACTCTACTTACCGGCAAACTAGACATTTTTACAGCGGGAAAGATTTTCAGCGTGAATCCGTGAATATTTATTTTTTAAGTTGCACCATGAACTACGCAATGACAAATTAATGTTGTTCTGATTTGTTCTGTGTTCTGTCACTTTATTTCTAGGCCTTTTCACCAATTTAGAGAGAGGTACTAGATTAGAATTATTGCTTGTATTATGTGTGTATGGAGTGTTATGTGTGTTTTTGTGTACGTACTTACATTAAAAAAAAGTTGATGTTAGGTTTTTTTCAAACATAATATTTTTTTTTTAAATCTCGATATAAACAATCAGAAAAAATTAAGTCAAGTAAAATCAATTCCATGATTTATTTTTTTGCTGTTTTCATTTAAAAAAAATCATGAACATAACAGAAGTACTGCGGATAAAATAAATCGAAATACGAGCGTACATAGCGCTTCATATAGAATGCTTCTTTCACATAGACATGCGTCTTTCATGCGTCGAGCGTATCGCACTAGCACTGCTAGCCAGCAAATGCTGGCTAGCACATTACTCGAAGTAAGTCTTAGTGTCAATATCAATTAACGAATCACTGGTGATTATACGAGGGTTGCTCCATAATTTTTTTTAAAAACATATATAACACAGTTGTTTTTTGTCGAAAATGGTTTTATTGTTTTTCAAAATATTCCCCGAGATGATCGATACACTTTTGCATTCGATGAAACCATTTGTCATAGCATTCGTGCCACTCCGAAACTGATATCTCCAAAACGTGTGTTTTGAACGCTTCAACTGCTTCTTCTGGTGTCGAAAATCGTTGACCACGTAGTTTTTTCTTCACGCTTGGGAACAAAAAAAAAGTCATTGGGTGCCAGGTCAGGACTGTACGGTGGATGACCCATCAGTTCGATGTTTTGACCGGTCAAAAATCGAGTAGTTTGAAAAGATGTGTGAGAGCTCGCATTATCGTGATGAAGAATTATTTTGCGACGGTGGTTGTTTTTTCTTATTTCACCAAACACTTCGGGCAAACAAATGGTGGTATACCAATCAGAATTGACGGTCTTACGATCCTCTAGTGGAACGGTTGCCACATGACCACTTCTCCCGAAAAAACAGGCGACCATTCGCTTCGAAGTGCTTCTTGCTCGAACAACTTTCGTTGGGTTATCTTCATTTTGGAAGACCCATACAGTCGACTGCTGTTTCGTTTCGGGCTCATAGGCATATATCCACGATTCGTCACCAGTGACGATTTTATTATCGTCTTTTGAAGCACCACGATTGAATTTCTTGAGCATTTCTTTACACCAACTCACACGAGCCATTTTTTGTTCATCGGTCAATTTATGTGGGATCCAACGAGAGCAAATCTTTTTTACGGCTAAATGTTCATGCAAAATTGTATGTATGCTGTGGGATGAAATGCCCAAAGATGCCTCAATCTCACGGTAGGTCACATGACGATCTTCCATAATCAGTTTTCTGACAGCATCGATGTTTTGTGGCACAACAGCCGATTTTGGACGACCTGTATGAAACTCGTCTTTGAGCGAACTACGACCGCAACGGAATTCTCGGTACCAGTTATAAATTGTCTGAAGGGTTGGTGCTTCATTGCCAAAGGCCAAATGAAGTCGATCGAAACACTGTTGTTGAGATAATTTACTTCGAAAATCGTAGTAAATCATTTTACGAAAATCTTCACGTGTAAAATTCATTTTTTTGTTGAGTCGCAGTTTACCAGTCACTGTAAACAATACAAATAGCGTTCGTACGACAAAAGGTTCAGGGCACGAATACATACCAAAACATCAAACTTTACGAATATGACAATGGTTTACATCGGGCAACACTATAAGTACCATTTTAAAAAAAATTATGGAGCAACCTACGTACATCACGTAGCTCAGTCGGATCTAAAATAACAGTCAAGCCTCCTGAGGAATATGGGAAGCGTGCCAATTTCATATAAAATAATACGATGGACATATATGTGTATACAACTGTATGCAAGATTAAAAAAAATAAATGACTCGATATAATTTCATAGCCGAAACCACTTTTTCACAAATCAACGATGCTCTTTGGTGTATTGAAAAAAGTATCTACAAAAGATGTATATAAATTTATGTGCGCCATTCTTTCGCACTTGAGCGTCTCGCACAATAGCGTGAGGCACATCGAGACTGAAATTTTATGTTACACTTTTGAAACGTGGTTAATTTTAGAATTTTCCGTTCGTTCGGCTTTCGATCGTTCGACCACTTACCAACGAGAACAATGTTCGGTCACGAGCAACAGACGACGAAAGGGAAATTATGACAATCTTTCCACATTTGTATGCATCACAAACTGAATGAATATGTGACATTTTTTTACCGATTCAATACATATGTATAGAAGTCGTCGCTTTTCCGAACCTCATGCTCTACTGACGAGCGTAAATTCAATCTTTTAGTGATTTGATCGTGCTAACGATAGGATTAATTTTCTTGACTGCACACATTTAACCTGAATATTCTAGCATATTTGCTATTGCTTCTTTTTATTTTTTTTCGTTCATTCATTGTGTGATTGGAAAAGCATCGAGACTGATTTTATCAAGCAACATAAATCAATTTAGATTGATTTATTTTCTTTTTCTGTGAATTTTTTTTATCAAATACTTTCGATTAAAATATATTCCATGCCATGCGCGATAAACTTGGTCAATTCTTTTGTCCAGAAAAGAGTGTATCCAAAATTGATTTATCAGATGTTGCTACACAAGGTAAACGATACATTGAAAAGGAAAAGAAAGTCAGAGATAGAAATCGTCCCATATATCAAAAGAGAAAAGCCAAACAAAGACAGTCACACAAATTCGAGATCGTTGTGATGTCCTATTATTTTTAAGCTTAATTGCAAAGTCATTAAATGAAAGGCACATCGACAATCAAAATCGAAATATTCAAGTACTAAATTATTTATATGCAGCCTTGTTTATTTTACTTGTTGTTGTTTATTTTACCTTCTTAATGCCCTCAATTATAATCGGCAAAAATGATATACTTCCCGCAACTTATCATTGTAGAACTACAAAAAAGGAATGTTATCGATGAATTTCGATAAACGTGCATATGTGAATGTTTGCAAACTGATTATTTTTTGAGAATTTATGTGAAAATTATCAAAAATTTGCCATCACAATGTAGCGGGGAAAAAAATATTCACAAAATTTCTCAGTGAATTGTTGCGATAAATGTGAACAGCAATCTTATTTATGTATAAATCGTGCTTCAAACACGTAGAAAAGAATGTAAACAAGTGAGGCGAGAATGTGCCATAAAATTACAACATTAGTGAAGACTGAAAATATCATGATGCGGATATGTATTTGTATTTTGTGCAACACAATTGTTTCGAAATTCAAAATAAACAAAATTCAATTTGTTGCTATAGCATTTGCAAAGATTATGTTTTGACTGGAAACTCAATTCATATTGTGTTTGTTTTTCATTATTTATTTTGTGTAGGACATAATGTGCCAATTAAAGATACATCAAAATACGTTCAAAACGGGCCAACGTGTACAAATGGGAATGTTCATGCAAACGGTGAACAAGAAAAGACCGACCCATGTGGGCAAGGGAGGATGCGGCAGTCAATGGAGGGGAAGTTTGCAAAGGAGAACAACACTGTTCACCTCCAGAGACGGGTAAATAAAATTTGTTTGCCTTTCCTCGAAATTACCTCGACTTATTACTTAATCTAATATTTGTTTTTTAAGGTGGGACTCTTCAGTGGGGTTGCTTTAATTGTTGGGACTATGATAGGTAAGACATACAAAATATATAACATTATTGAAAATATAAGCTTGGAAAAATTGAAAAAAACGCTAATCTTGATCTTTTTCACAGGATCTGGAATTTTCGTGTCGCCATCAGGTTTGCTAGTACGAACAGGGTCTGTTGGTATAAGCTTTTGTATATGGCTCGCCTGTGGTCTACTTTCTTTATTGGGTGAGTAACGCAAATGAAAATACCAGAAAAATTCAAGAAAATTAACATTTACGAACAAAAAATTCTGTCGCACTTTCTCTAAAAAAAGGGAAAAGAAATAAAATTTATGGCAAAAATTTCAATACCTTCTTCCAAGATGTAACACAAAAAAATTTAAAGAATCTACAACGTATTGTTTGCGAACCGAAAACGTGATGAATTCAGCACCAATTTTTGCATATAAATAGAACTTACATACGCAATACGTTGTATATTCGTTTATAGATACGATATCATTTTATTCGTTGTTTAAATTTTGTCGCGAAAAAGAAAACGGTTCAAACAAAAGGCAGGAAAAATGTAATTTATAAAATGCGCAATATTACGGAAAGGCCAACATTTTTTCAAAAGATTTTATTCTATTAAAGCGCCATTCTTTTACTTTAACGTCACATAGAATGTATGTAAACAAATGTTTAATTTGTGGCTAATCTTTCGTAAGGTATATAATACATTGGTGGTGTTGGAATAGAAGCATTCATGATGGAATGTTTGTATTTATCGCACATCCCACGAGCAGTACGAAAGCTGCCCCATAAATTTTAGTCAGTGACAGTGACGTATAACAGCGACAGTGCTCATCAAAAATGTATATGTTTTGAGGTTTCCATTTGTGAACATGTTAAAAAGAAACTCGTCTCGTTTATCTTCGCTTCTGAATAGGTGCATTGGCATATGCAGAACTGGGAACGATGAACACATCGAGTGGAGCAGAATGGGCATATTTCATGGATGCGTTTGGTGCAGCTCCGGCATTTCTATTTTCTTGGGTCTCGACGCTTGTATTAAAACCATCACAAATGGCAATTATATGTCTATCTTTTGCACAATATGCAGTTGAAGCTTTCGTCACAGAATGCGATCCACCCGTCATGGTTGTGAAAATGGTCGGCATTTTAGCGATTGGTAAGCCAAGCCGTTGGTTGGAATGATAAATGTTCGCTGTATTACCATAATAATAAAATGATGATTTCCGTTTTGTTCGTTGCAGTGAGTATTCTTTGTGTGAATTGCTACAGTGTGAATTTGGGTATGGCCGTGCAAAATATATTTACCACGGCAAAAATGATCGCAGTATTGATTGTCATCTGTGGTGGTGCGTACAAACTGTCCCAAGGTAATGTTCAACACTTACAAAATGCATTTAGTAAGCCATCACCACCACTTGGAGCGATTGCAGTGGCCTTTTATACGGGCCTATGGGCCTATGATGGTTGGAACAATTTAAACTACGTAACGGAGGAAATTAAAAATCCAAGCAAGTAAGAATCTGTCACAAATGCATTAATCGAGTACTGAATGAAAAACAAACAGAGTTAAATTGAAATTATGTTTATTTATAGAAATCTCCCACTCTCGATTATCATCGGCATTCCATTGGTAACTCTGTGCTATGCACTGATCAACATTTCTTATTTGACAGCAATGTCGCCCGATGAAATGATTGATTCGGAGGCGGTGGCGGTTACTTTTGGAAACAGAATTCTGGGACCGTTAACATGGTTGATGCCTTTGAGTGTGACCATTTCCACTTTTGGTAGCGCAAACGGAACACTGTTCGCAGCTGGACGGTATGCATTAAAAAAAATTTCTTTCACTCAAAAACGGAAGTGATTTAATTCATTTACTATCGATTATTCACAGATTGTGCTTTGCCGCGAGTCGTGAAGGTCATTTGCTTGATATTCTCTCCTACGTACATGTTCGACGCCTTACACCGTCGCCAGGTCTAATTTTCCATGTATGTATATATAATTAAATTCAAATTTATTAAAATCAAAAGCCTTGCTCGCACTACCATTTCAATCGATGAAAATGAAAACAAATCATATTTACAGTCATTGATAGCCGCAGCTATGGTTCTTTATGGAACAATCGATTCTTTGATCGATTTCTTTAGCTTTACGGCATGGATTTTCTACGGCGGTGCAATGGTTGCTTTGATTGTGATGCGATACACAAAACCGAATTGTCCACGGCCATACAAGGTACGTTTGATTTCTTAGTATCGCAATTAGTATTTCTAGCTGTTTTTCTTCGATTTGAATTATTGATTTGAAAAAATGGCACAAGCAAACAGATTTGTCGTTTTCCAGTCGGTTTAAATCAAATTCAATGAGTGAGTTTCTTGTGAAAATAAACAGCTGTTATTGAAGCATACGAATTTGGCTCCAACTTTGTTTCTTTTTCCAAAAGAATATTCAATATTGTATCAAAAATTCATCAAAATTAATTTGGTCAACTTTTTGTGTATTGTTTTTGTTTTCAAGGTGCCGATCTTCATTCCATACTTGGTATTAGCGATTTCAATGTATTTGGTGGTGGGACCGATTATTGATAATCCACAAATTGAATATCTGTATGCACTCATGTTCATATTTGCTGGTTTAATCTTTTATATTCCATTTGTTAAATTTGGTATGACACCGCGTTTTATGAGTAAGTTGAAAAATTTCATTTCCCACATCGCTGGCATAACAAATTATTCATGCTTTTGTGTTTTATTTTCAGATAAAGTAACATTGTTCCTGCAATTGTTATTGGAAGTGGTGCCAACTACGACTATGGGAATGTTTGATTAAAAGAAAAGAAATCTACAATGACAAATTTATATCAATAATACAAAAAAAACATAAGATGAAGGAAATAACCCACAAAATATACTGTTAATATACATTATATATATTTTAAAGAAAAAAAATTTATATTGATACAAAATTGAGATGAAATTATATTGTATACATAAAAAAGCAATTTAGAAGAAGCACATGAAGAACAAACAAAAAAAAAATGAAAAATGAAAAATATTCAATTATTATTCATAATAATTAATACAAAAAAAAAAAAATAAGTTTGTAAAACATTTGATCAAATGAATTTCATCAAAGAGTTGTGTCAAGAATGCTTCAAATTTGTTTACAGACAGGAGAAAAAGCTGTAGTTTTTATATGTTCATTTCTTTGTGACAAATGAAAATCCAAATTTATAAGACTTATTTGAATTTTAAAACCAAAATGCATTCAATGCATCAAACCAAATGCTATAATAAGTTTTATGTATTTTTTTCGGCAATATGAATAAAGTTAGACGGTTTTTCGATTAGTTTTATTGGCATAAAATATTGAGTTTTATTCATTATTCATCAATTTCTAATTAAATTTTATTTAGCGCTTAAAGTGAGTACTATCTCCATCGTTGCTCTATTTCTTTTTCTTTTTGTGTATGTTTGGATTAACAATACCATAATGTTTGGTAAGTTCTCCGACATTATTTTTATTCTTCTTCGTTTTCTTGACGAAACGATTCACTAATTTATTGCATGAGACAGTTGCCATGCCGGCCGAATTTTTCCCAACTGATCGAATGTAGGCTTCTTCCTTCGCCTTGGCCTTGGACTCCTTGTTTTCGGCTTGTAATTCTTTGTAGTTTTTGTAGGCATTTTTCGGCGCTTTTGCTCCCAATTTTACAGCCAATGCAATTTTCGCTTTTTGTTGATCTTGAAAATTGTAACCCGAGATTCCGAAATTAAACACCTCATGCCGCACTCGCTTCATGTCCAATCCATCATGTTCATCACTGTCGTGGCCGCTGGTCTTACGTTTTTGTGGAAATTTTTTCGAACCATCTGACTTTTTTGACTTATAAGTTTCGAAAACGACTGCTTTGAATTCACTGACCGCTTCTTTCTTCTTCAAAAGCATTGCTTTTGTTGGAATTATGTCCAATGAGTGATCTTCTGACATGTTTTCACTAAATACACTTTAAATATAATAAATTTATTTTGTTTTCAACACAAACTACGAAGTGAATGATAATAAGTAAAATCAACGTGCTACTTTGACAGACGAACCGCACACACAACCGTCATTGAACCGATTCAACTGTCATTCAAAGGCCTATCATCATTGTCGTCATGCGTGCATGTGTTTGTGAATATGTGTTTGTGAACATCGTAAACTGTTTGATGATAATAATAAAAGGGGAAAATCAGCAAAAGAACTTTGCAACAAATGAAAAACCAAAATGAAATCTATTCGATTATGTCGGTGCAAATATGCTATTTATTATGGATTTTTTTTTTTATACAAAATAAAGAATGGGCTTTCATTACAATTATTGCAATATTACAATGACGGTATGATTTAATTTAGTTCGGGGAGCTACGAATTATTTCTATTCGTAATGTAACATGTGTAGTGCTAAACACCAGATAGATTCTGACAATTAAATATGAGCTAGACATTAAATAAAATGCTTTGTGTCATTTCAAAATAGTTTCCAGTATTTTGAAAATGCGTCTGTGGCATTTGGAACTAATGCCGATTGTGGTCTCTCGAAATTAAGGGCATATTCTTTGGAGCGTTTCAAAATTTCCTGATCAAATAGCTGTGAAATGAGACGAAAACGAAAAATTATAGCAATTGACAATGATTTCTAAAGAAATACACCGAATACTTACATCATTTTCGTCGACATCGAGATGATTACTTAGATTCCATTCACACTTTGGTAATGGATTTGAAATAAGTTTGGCTGCCTGAGCAACTGTTGGTACAACATCTTGTTGTAACGATGCTATTTCCCACAGTGAACTTTCAATTGCATTCGATTGTACTGGATCTCGTTCGTCCATTAAATATGGATCGCTTGGTATTTTGTCGCCCATCGGATGGCTGATCATTCGTTTGAGGCCCGGATGACGCAAAATTAAATTTCCAATAAAGTAAATAATTGTGATAATATCTTGGGTGGGTGCAACCAGAGCCAAACGTGCCAGACGCTTAGCAAATGCAGCTACCAAATTTTCCGGCAAATGACTAGAGCTTAGAAAAATGTCTGCCAAATAAAATAAACGGGCCTTATACTTTGTGTGGAAGATTTCTGGTTCAAACATAGAATATAATTTTTCGTAAAGCTTTGGGTATGTCAAATTGTGTTGTTGAATCAATGTGAACACGCCTTGCAGAGCGAGCAAACTCACAGGACCACCTACAAAACGAAAACAAATGAATAGACTATTAAGCATACATTTTTCTTGATAAATTATTAGTTATTCTTTTAACATACCAACATCTAATGAGTCCATCAAAAAATCGGTCAAAAGAATTGGTTTATCCAAATGACATAAGATTTTCTCAATTAACACAACCAACAGTTGTTTGTGCGAATTTTCCGATAAATCATTGGTCCATTGTAGAATGCATGCCCACACTTTGTTCAAATTTTTGCGCACAACTGGATAGTCAAAGTCGAATATGTCCTCACTACAGCACAACAATTGTTTATTTTCTTGAACTTCAGCACTGATGGGAATAGCATTTATCAAATCTAAGTAGTTTTGAACATAAATATCACTTGGAGACTTCTCCTTGATCGTTATGTCGGGCAGAATTTTCCACAAAGTGTACACAATATCCAAATATGAACCGTACTCTTTGAATCTTGCGAAAAGATGATGATTCAATTTTTTCACCGAAAGCATTTGTTGTATGATACTTCTGAACTTGCTGGTTGATATCATTGATTTGGAATCGGGATTTTTTGGATATTTTGCTTCTGAGCACAGTATATGCATGGCTGTCACCAATGCTTGTGTACTCTCAGCCTCATCAGGATTCAGCATACCATTCAATATTTGCTTCCAGACTGTTTCATAGTGCTTTTGTAAAGCTTCACGCAATTGTATCTCAGCGTAACAATCTACTGAAAAGAAAATAATCATTTGTTCAGCATTTGCATGTAATTTGAATGTTGAAATGGCAGGTGTACCTTTTATCTTTGATGGTTTTATGGTTGTGACCATCTCACGTGTTTTGAGCAATTCTGTGAAGATTTTTTCCAGCGCCAGCAAATACGGAGTTATCGTCGATTCGTTTTGGACACATATCTAAAAATAAATATTTTTTTAAATGGAAAACAATTCAAGTTTCACACACGCAGGACCATTGTGTGATATGACATCATTTGATTGGCTACAACACAATTCAGTATAAGTGTTCACCTAACCTCAAACGGAGTGGTTTGTGGAAAAATCTATAATGTTTTGACCATAAATTGTATACTAACCTCGAACTCTTTTAATATATCATTTAACGGTTGTAACTTTTTTCTCGACGATAAAAATTCCTGTGTTTTGACTTTTATTGATTTTGAATTCATTTTTAATGGCATTTTTTGACTGGAAATCACTTTTTGCGTCGACATGTTTGTTTTCGGTTCACTGACGTTGTAACATTAACTACACACATTTGTTGTTTTCAATCAACAGAGAGCATGATAGGCCTTCGGATGACAGGGAGCTGAATCGGTTCAATAATAGTTAAGTGTTCGGTTTACCGGTAGAGTAGTAATCCGTCAAACTAACATATTTTGGAGGTTATGATAAAAACAAAATAAAATTAATTTATCATATTGAAAAAAATTTTTTTGTCTCAAAATCACACATCTCAATTCAAAATAATTTTTTAAAAATATGATTTTTCAAGAAAAAAATCCACAAAAACATAACGTCAATGGCCAAGACAGTTTTAAATATACTTGGTTTCATATGAATCAAATGGAATATTCAGCATCTCGTCTTACAGTTCAAATAAATAAAAAATCAAAAATTTAATTGGTCCGCCAACAACGCCCCACAAAATGCAAGCTGAGAATGAAAACAAGGAATAACAAACTCATTAAATGAAAGCAATTACACAGACGCATTTTCTAAATACGCAATCATGAAAGTGATGCAAAGAATTTTATTTAATGTGTAGCTCACACTGCCAATAGAAAAAAATCATAAAGACATTCTATATAATAAATACAATTGTTGTACCAACATAATCAAACGGATTTGGTTCTTTATTTAGAATTGTAGCAAAGGTCTTTCAATTTCTGATTTTGCTCTTAATCTCAAGCAAATGTTAACACATTGTCATCGAACAGTGTACCATCTTCATACGCATACACATTCACCATCACACACACATGCATGCATTCGGTGTTTGGGATGTGTGAAGAGTCATAAACATAAACACTTTGTTTCAAACAAACAATTTGTGTCCCAATCAGCTGGTGCGGTTCGGCTTTGCACGGTTTGACATTTCACTCCGTCGTTGTCACAATTCCACAGATCTGTCATTTTTATTCTAACTTTGCTGCGACGTATAAATCAGAAAGTCAGAAAGAGAAAAAAATGGCAGCACACAGCAGTGGAGGTGTCGATTGGGCCTCCGTAATTAAACCATTATTAAATTCTGGATCTTTAACCAAGACCGATTTGAATAATTTAACAAAAACCATCTTGAAATGGTGAGTACGACAATAAATTTATATCAATTCAAACACAATTCGTATTGGAAAATCGTAATCGAAAATTCCTATTGTATGGTGCTAATATGGCTGCCGTTCAATAATGTCTGAGTCATTTTGAGAAAAAAAAAAAGTTGTTTGCTTTGTTTGACTCCTATTGGAGTCATCATTGATTTGATTTCGCCGATTTCATCATAATGAGAAATTTACGTTCTATTTCTGCATTTCAGTGAAAATGAAATTTTGGAACACGATAGCAGCTTCGACGTGTTTTACATGTCGTTTGCTGCACTGGCTGCAAACAACATTAGCGGACAGTGCAATGCACGTAAGTAATTACGGTTCTTTTTGCGTTACATGAATTCCTTGTTGAAAATCGATTACAAACCGTACATACATCACCATGAACAAAATAAACCCAATATTTAAATCGTTAAAGTTTACAAATGGCTACTTGTTTGCAAAATTTTTGTTTTTTTTTTTTTCAAATCTATTTATATGCACCATAAACAGACTGTTATAATTCTATACACACCATACCAATTTCTTTTTTTACAAAAGTACATGGTATCATTTGAGGCATGTCGCAATTTTTTGTACTGTTGTTTTTTGTATGCACAAATAAGACATTCCTTTGTTTTTACTTCGATTCGTGTTTTTGTTTTACGTTTACGTAATTTTCTTTTTAATTTTAGTGTGCCAGAATCAAATTTTGCAGATAACTGAAGCGTGTGGCGTGTTGATTCGCTACATTTTGAACAAATTTGAAAAGTCATCCAATTCCGACACAAAGCTATTATTGCACGCACTAAAAAGTTTGTGCGAAGGCAAAAGCCAAGACCAAGATTTTGACCAAATTGTATTTTCGTCCATTTTACGAAATGCAAAATATCCCGAACACAAATCAAATGTCACAGGTAATTTCTATTGATGACTTATGATTCTTTTCTCTCATTTCCGTGAATTTTGTCTAAAAAAAATAAATCAATACTATGTCAAATAGGATCAAGTGAAAAAGACAGTCCGAAATCGGAGAATATGAAACGATCCCGATCGGATCTATTAACAGTGATTCTAACCCAACTATCTACATCGATTGGAAACACAAATGCGGCAAGCTGGAATCCATTGAGTGAAGAAGTAGCTGATTGTACGGTAAGTGTAGCAGAAACCCATTAATTTTGTGCAATAAAAATAGTAATGAAAAAAGCTGAATTTTAAATATTTTTGTTTTCTTTATTTTTTTTACAGCAAGTGTTTACGAGTACAAATATTGCATTTATGCAAGCAAATAATGCTGGTGACATCATTCTAAAAGTTTGTTCATCACTACCAGTTTTATCACGTTACTATGCTCGGTACGAAGACAGTGCAGTTCATGGTAAGCCATTACATTTGCCTGTAACACACAACGAAGCAATGGCAATCAAAAGCGTACTACCACAAATATCGTCCGACATCCATTTACTGTCATTGGCCATATCTTTGCCGATACTGGAACCATTGACACCAAATAAAATAAAGCAATTGTCAAAATGCGCAATGGCCGCTTTGTATTGTGCTGTTTTGACATCGATATCGAGCAGTGTTTTAACCATGACCGTGACCGGATCTCAAAAGTCTCAACAACAGTCAACACCTGAAAATAAAGTGTCATCGACCACAGCCTCGTCAAGTTCAACAACAAAAGAGAGTGAAGACATTTTGTCAACCGAAGATCATGCACGTAATATTGTCGATAAAGCATTGGAAATATTCACAGCCGTCGAAAATATATTTAATACGACACGTTATCATGTTTATTTGAATCACTTATGTATGGGAGGATGGTTGCTGATCAATGGAATGCAAGGTGCGATGGGTGCATCTGGAAATAGCAACACAAAAATGTTGATCGCATCAGCACTTACACAAGACGATCCAAACAAAACAAAATCGTCAGTCGGTGCAATGACTGGTGCCACGAGTCGAACGGGTGATATGCAATCATCGTCTGGCCGCGTAAATTTATCAAAAGTTCAGCAAGGCTTTGGCGTTTTGAATGCTGCCATTGCATCACACTGTTTGACATTGTTGAATGAATTGATCGAAGATCTGAAACTTGAATCGCGAGCCGGCGACGATGACCCAACCACCGATAAAATTGAACCATCTGGTTTTGATATTCTCGGACAATACACATCATTACAAAGAATTGCACGAGTTTTGAATTGTGCAACAATGCAACAGTTGCTCACATTTTTGGCGACAGTATCATATCGCAAAGCTTGTTCGCTGAAACGAATTAATATCAAGAGCGAAGGTCAGGATGCAGTAAGCTTCAGTGATTCAACAACGTATTTCAATGACTCTATGTCATGTTCGGATTACTCTACCGAAGAAGAAGAAGAGGATAGTGAAAGCTATCTGGGCACATGGTTCAAGGAAACATTGTCACCGGAAGGAAAAGACGAAGCATCCGAAAATACTGACAATAAATCGACGGAGAATCAACGAAACAGCACATCAATGGTGCCGGCCAAAGACGAACCGCACGAATATTTGGAGCTATCAGCACAAATATTTTCCTTTTTGGATACAACGCTCGGCAGTAATCACAAATATTTGAATAAATATGTAAAGAGTGGCCTGAGCGAACAGCAAATGGCATTGCTTGCGAATATTTTGAAGGATTTGGACCGTGATGCATCACGTGGCGAAGCTGAAAATTCTTACAGTACTCAATGGCAAAATGCAATGATTGAATTTTCGGGTGCAATTGGCCGCTATCTACATAATTTGATCTCGGGATCACTGATCAACGAATCGTTGCAGTCATCACTTTTGTTGCATTTGGGCGTCTCACCATGGACCCAGGACACAAATGTTTGGCCATTGCAGGTATATCCGCGAACACTTTCGGTTCTTGTGCAAATTTTACTATTGAAACCATCGCAAGAAAAAGAAGCAGCCTGTCTCTCAGTCTGGCACCGATTGGTGAATACACTGGTCGAAGGTGTTTGCTCGTCATCATCCCAAACTCTTCAAATTGATAGCAACGACTATGAAGATCTCAACGTTGAACACGCTCAATTATTGTTGTTCCTATTCCATTCGTTGAATTTGATGCAAAAGAAATCAATTTTGCTGCTAACAGCTGGCGGTGTTATTCGATGCGCCGAAGTTTGCCGTACAATGACCAGCGAGAAACCGTTACGCGATCATCAAATCATCCTTCTATCACGGTTACTGCTATTCCTTGAGTATCTAATGAAACATCTATACAATGCACCTACTCCTCTGCTGGAACAAGTTCGATGGAATCTCTTCAGCATAATCAGCGACGAAACCAGTCAAAAACAAAGTGAAAACACACAAGGCCCCAAATCGAAATTGATGTCATTTTGTCGTAAGGACATTGAAGATAAGTACCGAAAATATTCCCACGAGTATGTGTCAGGTGTTCGTCCCAAATTTTATTCGTTGTCCGTGATTGATCCAAAGATACAGGAATTTAAATTGGATGGTTTGGCGTGGAATTTCATTTTGTGCACACCCGATAAGTTGAAATATCCATTGCTTATCGATGCATTGATTGACATTTTAGCAATCACCGATATTTGCACGGCCAAAATCAATTACACAACCATTTGTTCCGTTCAGTATTGCTTTAGTTTGTGTTGGAAACTATTGTTGGGCTTACCGCCATCGACTCCACACGTTGAAGCATTAATGCAAGAGAAAGTACCAAACTTACATTCGCTCATGTGGTCGATTCGTTGTTTGCATCCCATCACAAATGCACACTCGCTAATCGTAAACAGTTTGGTGAAACAAGGCATGTACACACAATCGGCCGAACAATTGTGGAAGCAACTGACCGAACATGTGTCCGACACAAAATATAGTATTAAACAGACAACATCCGGATTGGAATCGTTCATCAAAACGTTCCAAATTCCCAATCCACGTTTATCGAAAATCATTACATTGGATGCAATTGTGTCGCATTTGGTTGCAATTTATTCAACCGATGGATTTGGAAGCAAGTTTGGAGGCGATCATGCATTAAAGGCAAACGGTAGTACTACATCGAGTGGAGCCAATTCATCTGATTCCGGAAGCATTGCGGAGATTTCAATGTCATCAACATCAGGATCAGATGTTTCTGTGATTATTCTCAGTGGTAAGCCCGAGGGGCAATTCACTTAAAAATTGCTTTTCTATTATTATTTAATTCTTATTGATTCTTTTTCGATTATTTTAAATTAATTGTATTCTTTTCTTTTGTGATTCTCCCCTTAGGTAAACCTGATGACGCAAAATCAATGGATAAAGTTGTACCGACCGATGAAGATGCTTCAAAAGATCTGATTGTCAAATTGCTAGATGCATTTGAAATTGTCAAAGAATGCATTTTGTAAGTATTTTATTCGTTTTATTCTTTTCAATTTTAAAAATTGCTAAATTTACATGTATTTTAACTATTCCAAATCAATTCCAGCAAAACAATGACTGCAAGCGTAAGCGGCTCAATCCAACCACACATATTTGAATCGCTCATTTCATTATCTGGATCAAAGCATCCATATTGGAAGGATTTGGCACCGAAATTCACTTCAATGTTCACCGGCCAAGATAAAGACACTATTTTGGTGGAATGGAAGAAGAATTTGCCGATTTTGAGTGAAGAAAGTATATCATCAAGTGCTTTCCCCGTTGAAATGCACACACTTACCGTGATTGAAGCGCACTTGGGCGAACTATCGAAACATTCAACATACTCCCTACTTTTGTCAATCAAACACGTTGCAAAATCGATTGTAAATTTAATTCATAAATTATTGTCCGTATACAAGTATGAAAATGCAATTGAAGAGCGCATTCAAAATGTACTCGTGCCAATGCTATTTGATGTTCGCACAGAGTATTTGTACGACATATCGAAACAATGCTTGCAAACAATGATGAATGGAAACACAGATACCGACATATTCAAAGTAATGGCATCACCGATGACTTATGTTCTAAAGATTAGCTATCGCTTGTTGATTGACAGCGCAGAGCTTGCATCTCAAGGAAATCCGGGGACTTTAGATGAAACAATTTTACAACAAATTTTAAGCTTCTGGGAAACAATGCTCACCGAACCGATGGGCATTAGTGCAATGCATAACTTTTTCCATGAAACACGGGAGGGATCTCTCGTTCAGGTTCTATTGTCCTTTACAAATACGACATTTTCACAATCATATGCAACAAAAGTGTTGCAATTCTTCGAGAATTTATTCAAAGCAACCGAAAAGCCCGACTCAGCATTCAAACTTGAGGAATTGTGTACATGCATTTCGGAGTTGGCCACCGTGGACAACGGAAAGCTAAAGAGTTGGTTGGGACATATTTTGCTCGGACCAATTCCGGCTTTCTTCAGTGTATCGAGCGTATCGACACCGACAAATATGGCCACACCAACAAATATGGCCACCACATCGGCAGCGATACCAAGCATTTCCGATCAAATTCTACCAATTGATAATGATGCCATGGACATTGATTATGAATGCACAAATGCACCAATTTTACTCGACTATGTTGGTGAGTATTTGAATTTTTTTTATTTTGCTTTTTTCTCTATTGACTTTGAAAAGTAATATGAAAATTAAAAACGAACATTTTTCAGTTTCAGAACCAAAAAGTGATGATTGCGCTGAGAAAAATGGACGATTGTTGCAAACGCTAACCAAGTACATTGTATCAGAAAGCCGAATTGCGCCGAATGTTTCGGCTGCATTATTCCAAGCATTGATTCAATTGGGACAAAATCTATTGTGTCCAACACAAGAGGCACCCGATTTTACCGATTTATTACAAGTGATGATCACCTTGGCGGACACGTCACAGGGCAAAGGGCATTCAATGCTATTCAACAGTTCCGTCGATTGGTTGGATATTTCAAAGTCGCATATTTTGGAGAAATTGAATGCAGACACCAATAACAAACAGGCGCAAAATAAAACCGCTAACGCTTTCGATAATGTGAGCGCTCTGTTGAAATACATGGTCGATTTGCTGCAAAGTCTCGGCTACAATGGTAACAGTGTGATCGCAACTGCATGGGAAGATGAAACACAAGCCGAATTCGACGACTATTTGGATGATTTGGTGAACGACGATGATGATAGTGCCGTTGAAGATTCCGATGAGGATAGTCTGAGCAATAAACTGTGCACATATTCCATCAGTCAGAAGGATTTTATCAACCAGCATTGGTATCATTGTCATACATGCAAAATGGTTGAGAAAGCAGGTGTTTGCAGTGTATGTGCACGTGTTTGTCACAAAAATCATGATATAAGCTATGCCAAATATGGAAATTTCTTTTGTGATTGTGGCGCCAAAGAAGATGGTTCATGTCAAGCATTAAACAAACGTACAAACTACCAGGATAACGCATCGTCAGTCATTGGTATGAGCGGAAATGAAAGTGATTACAGTTCAACGATTCGAAGACGTACCGTAACGCCACCATCACGTACAAATTCATTGCGTGATTCACAACATGAATCAGATCGAACGTCAAAAATAACCGAAACCATTGAATCGTCTCGTGATACATTGAAAACAAGTGATAAATGGAAGGTTGTTGTGAAATGTCTTTTGGATTTCTTCGAGTACTTGATGCCAGCTATTCAAGAAAATTGCGCAAAACACTCGACCGTTGGTTGCCAACTTCGTGCAAAAAATGCACTCGAACGACTACATCAACCGAATAAATCGTTCTCAATTTCTGATTCTCTGATGAATGCAACGCTTGGCAGTCAGGAAGGTGCCTTCGAAAATGTTCGCATGAATTATTCAGGTGAACAAGGGCAAACGATTCGTCAGCTACTATCGACAAATCTTGTTCGGCGCGTTGCACTCTGCTGTTTATCATCACCACATGGAAAGCGTCAGCATTTGGCCGTTTCGCATGAAAAAGGAAAAGTAACCATTCTTCAATTGTCGGCATTGTTAAAGCAAGCCGATGCAGCCAAACGCAAATTAACATTATCTCGACTATCATCGGCACCAATTCCATGCATTGTACTGTCGCTTGCATCGAATCCAGCAAATGAAGACTATTTGGCTGTTTGTGGTTTGAAAGAGTGTCACGTGTTGGTATTCTCTAGTTCAGGAGCCGTAAACGATCACATTGTGTTGACACCACAACTCGAAACAGCAAACTTTATTAAACGTGCCATTTGGCTTCCGGGTTCACAAACAAAATTGGCATTAATAACAGCTGATTTTGTGAAAATCTACGAACTTGCAGAAGACACAATCAGTCCACAATATTATTTTGTCGTTCCAAGCGGAAAAATACGTGACTGCACATTTATTTGTCAACAAGATGCATACTACATGCTTTTGTTTGCCTCATCGGGTTACATTTATACACAATTATTGTCTGATGAAAGTTTAGCCAAACATGGTGCATTCTACATTACAAACACCCTCGAATTGGATCATCCATTAATTAAAGATTCAAATGGTTTGGTTGGTGGAGGTGGTGTGTCTATTTACTACTCACATGTTTTGCAGCTGCTATTCTTCAGTTACACACAAGGAAAATCATTTATGGCACCAATCACCGATATAAACGAAGGTGTAAAGTGTGTAATTCAACTGCAAACCGGACCGAATAGTAAGAATTCGTCAAAAATACCGCCACAACCACTCTGCCAGTGGACCGAAATTCCCGGCCATCCTGGCTTGATTTGTGCAATGATGCAAACATCAAATAATCCAGTCATCTTCATGCTTCGACCAGACAGCATTGTTATGCAAGAAATCAAAGCTCAAAATTCTAAGGCAAAAATCATGGATATGGTGGCCATTCGTCATGCATCATCTGGTGTAGAAAAAACGACACTGCTTCTACTGTGTGAAGACGGTAGCTTACGTATTTATTCGGCAAATGCAGAAAATACAAACTATTGGTTACAATCAGAAGTTCAGCCCATTGGAAATCTATTTTCAGCATTGGTATTGAAAGCTTCAAAGAAAAATAAAAAATCCGGATCGAAAGTGCAACCATCCACAAGCTTAGGCAAATCAGTTGGACCATCATCAACATCACCGCTAGCATTCCCAGTTGATTTCTTCGAACATTGCAACTGTTTGAGTGACATTGAATACGGTGGAAATGACTTGTTACAAATTTATAACACAGCCCAGCTAAAACATCGTTTGAATGCACAAGGCTTATTTGTCACCTCGACACGTGTCAATGGTTTCACATTGGAAATTACAAACAATGACCCGAACACAGTTATCACAGGAATTCGTGTTGCCATTGGCGGACAGGATGCACTTCGAACACCGCAAAGTGTAACAATACTGGGCCGAACCATCAATACAATCACAACCAAATCAAGATGGTTTGACATCCCAATGACGCGTGAGGTAATTACTTGATAATCGATGTTGCTGTTTACAATTTATTCTTCCATTTTATAACTATCACTGATATATTCTTTTCTTCATCTAATAGGAGAGTTTACAAAGTGATAAAAAGTTAAATGTACAATTTGGTCCATCAACTGATCCGGACAATATTTGTATGTTGGATAGCATCAAAGTCTATGGCAAAACAAAAGATGTATTTGGATGGCCAGAAGAGTCGGACGACAATGGTACAACGGTAGCAAATCCAATGTCAAATGTCGTTTCAAATACAAACAACGGTGATTCAAGCGACAATCAAGTCACACCTTTGGATAAAATGATGACTTCTATGCTTGATGTGCTGGATTGTGGACTGTCATTGCTCGGTTCGTCTAATATGGATGAAAATATTCGTCAAAAATCGATGACTGTCGCCACAAAACTGTTACTTCATCCACTTCCGAATGCGGTTCAAACTCAAGCCAAAGGCATTTTGGCCAATTTGCTTGGAAATAAAAACGCATACAATAATTACAAAGATAAAGAGATCCTCAGCGAAGTTAATTCCGAATTGGAAAAATTAAAGAAAATACGTGACGTTCGTAACATTGATCCGGAGGCATTTTATCGTTTGGTTTTACTCACCAGAAATATTGCAGTGGCACGACCACATTCATTGGCAAAGATTTCCAATGAAAATCAATTCCCGCTGGTTGCATCATTCATCCAACTACTGCATGAACTGCATGTCATTACACCATCGTATGAGTCACAAATATCAATTGTTCGCATCGGTTTATCGCATACCCAATCGATAGTGCATGCTTTGGTTGAGATTCTATACGCATTTGCATTGTCAGATCCAAATCTTGTCGAATCGATGACAGTACATTTGGTTAAATTGCTTGTGAATCCAGCAAAGGTCATCAGTTACAGTGTGAAACAAGCAATGATCCGATTATTAAGAATTCGAGTCAAACGTAGAAAAATGGCGTCGTCCACACCACCAGTTTGCTCAACACCGACCCCAACACCATCGACGTCACAGCAAACAATCGCACCGAATTTCCCAACAACTTCACAGTCTGGTGAAAATGTGGCTGGCACTTCAAGCGCATCAAATCGTCCGTATAATGCGGAAGCTGCAGCTGCTGCCGCTGCTTTAAATGAAGAGTTTGCCGGCATGCAAGATGTTGATGTTATCGAACCGCTTGGTTTAGAACCAGCCGCCGGTAATGTACTCGCATCGGTTGAAGCATTGTTGGGCGGTCTTCGTGGTGGTTTTCCACAATTACTCGACATGCAACCGGATGGTGACGAAGAGGCAATTATGGATATTGCAATTGCTTTAAGTTTACAAGAACAAGATGGACATTTGGAGACACTTCAACAAGGATTGGCCAATATTCAAGGCGCTGGTAATCGTGCATTACAAAGCTTACGTGCACTTAATGTCTCAGGGGCCGCAGCAGCTTTTAACAAGTGAGTATCTGCCGTTTTTGTTTAAAAAAACACATCTTAGTCTAACGAAATGATTTTATGTTTCAGTGAACCGGCCGCTTCTGGAGGTTCAGACGATGAATCGAATGCTGCCACCGACGGCAGTACATCAATGAATCAAATGCGAACACCGGCTGAACCGGCCGGTAGTTCGGAAAGTGGTGGTGAAAGTATCGGAGGTGCAAGTGGCCGTAGCAGCACATGTGAACAGCAAATGCATTCATCACTTCCACGCAGTACGGAAATGATTCAACCCGAACCATCCACATCGACTGCAAACGTCCAAGAAGAAGTTCGTGAAGAGGACTCCGAAGATAATAACGAAGCTGAAATTATTCAGAAATTGCATACTTTAAGGTATATTTTACTAATCATGTGAAGATTTAAATTCAACGAAATAACAACAAATTTCTCTTTTGCGTTTACAGAGTTTCAATTCTTCAACGAATGGTTGATCACATGTCAATTTTGGATGGAGTAAATGGCGAACAAGCGATTCCATTCATGCAAGTCATTTTAATGTTGACATCTGATTTGGATGGCGAACAGGACCCCGATCAGATTGTGATGCAAAGACTTCTCACCGCACTAATCGATCGTCTTGAAATCTCACCAAATGCACAGCCACCAGAACTAACAGTAAGATCATCAAAAACCGAAGTTAAATTGGTCATTCTTCGATTATTGTGCGTTTTAATGGGAAAAGTTAAATCATCATCGAAGATGACATTGTCGTCACTAATTCCGAATGCACAACGAGATAATGCAACATTTGTTGCATCGAAGACAGCAAATGCCCTATTGGAAAGCGGTTGCATTCAATTCTGTTTGATTATGTTGAAATCGTTCTTGCCATATTGGAAGAATGTGGTAAATAATGAAGACAATAGCGTCAGTGCATTATCACCAATGGGTATGCTTCCATCACAGGCTCCAAGTGCAGTTACTGGAGCTAGCGGTAACTTACTGAAACCGCGACAGTATGGACCAGAACCGGATATGTCACCATTCTTTGCACCATTATGCCTGAAAGGCTGTACAGATATATTTGATATGTTCCCCACAGTTTTGACCGAAATGTCCGTTCGACTACCATATCAAGTTTTAAAATTGTCAACTAGTCACGCTGCATCATCGCATGATTGGTACGCAAGTGTTTGCGAGTACATGACATACACATTATGTGAGTACATGATGATCGTTCAATCGGCCATTCTTCGACGATTGGTACGCAAACTGTTGCTATACATTTGTGGCAGCAAAGAGAAATATCGTCAAATTCGCGACATTCATTCATTAGACTCCCACATTAAAATCATTCAAAAGTCCAGCGAAACAGCTTCGACACAATTGGCCAATGTTAACAATGCAAATCCGATTTTCACATACGATTCACTGGTGGAACTAACCGAACATTTGAGAGCATGCCATGAAGTGGCAACGCTTCGAACCGGCAATTGGCAACGTTTTTGTTTGTCGCATGTGTACGTTTTGCCATCATTGTTACGCATCAGCACTTATCAACTCGATGAAGGAGTATCGCCAATCATTTTGCAACTACTTCAGTCTGCCGTTTGTAATACTTCAGTTGGTGACAACAAGCCGGAGACAAAACATGTTATGGTAATGAAGGTAGTGCGTCAAGATCGTGAACGATCTGAAGAGAGTGAATGTTCGGCCGAATCAAAATTCGATCCAAGTCAATGTGCAATTTTGGTTACACAAATATTCAGCCAAGCATCAGCTCAATTACTTACGAAATTCATCAAAATTTTCTTACTCGAAACAAACATTACATCGATACGCTGGCAAGCACACGCTTTGCTGTATGCATTCTACGAAAACAGTAATACACAGCAAAAAGAGCGTCTATTGAATTGTATGTGGGAATTGTGGTCACTATTGCCTGCATATGGTAGACGTACAGCTCAATTTGTTGATTTGCTTGGCTATTTAACACTCAGCACTAAGCATATCGATGCCAAACTACCCGAATACATGGGACTTGCCGTTTCGGTACTTCGCCAACAAAACGAATTCCTGTCAAAACATCCAAATGCACCGATTTATACAGCATTAAGTCATGTACTCGAACTGGATGGATACTTCTTGGAATCAGAACCGTGTCTGGTGTGCAACAATCCTGAAGTTCCAATGACCAACATCAAATTGTCGTCGATTAAAATTGATTCCAAATTTACTACGACCACAACCATCGTCAAATTGGTTCAATCACATACCATTTCAAAGATTATTCTTCGCATCGGTGATTTGAAACGAACAAAAATGGTACGAACTATCAACATTTACTACAATAATCGATCGGTGCAAGCCGTTGTCGAGCTCAAAAATCGACCATCAATGTGGCATAAAGGTGAGTTTCAATGGATTTTTTTCTCTCTTTTCGATATTTTTTTTATGTAAATCGTTTTTTCTTTCACAGCAAAAAAGGTGAGCCTATCATCTGGCCAAACAGATGTTAAGATTGAATTCCCATTGCCGATCACTGCATGCAATCTGATGATTGAATATGCTGACTTCTATGAAACGGTCACCAGTTCATCGGAAAACTTACAATGTCCCCGTTGCAGTGCGGCCGTTGCTGCCAATCCGGGTGTATGCGGAAATTGTGGTGAAAATGTTTATCAATGTCATAAATGTCGCGCAATAAACTACGATGAAAAAGATCCCTTCTTATGTCATTCATGTGGTTTTTGCAAATATGCAAAATTCGATTACAGTTTGTATGGTCGAGCTTGTTGTGCTGTTGATCCGATTGAGTCAGCCGATGATCGTGCAAAAACCGTACAATCAATCAACGTATCATTGGAGAAAGCAGACCGAATCTATCGTACTCTGCAAGGTGTAAAACAAATCCTTGAATTACTCGTGCAAAAAGTGGCTGAGCATAAATTCGATCGTGTGGTGGATGAGAATATGATCGGAAACATTGTGTCATCGTCTCAGGTGAATAAAGTGATTCAATTGTTGGCCCAAAAGTATTGTGTCGAATCGAAGACGTCATTCGAAGAGCTCAGCAAAATTATTCAGAAAGTTCAAGCATGCCGCCGTGAATTGGTTGCTTACGATCGAAGCAGTCAAATTGATTCGCTTATGACATCGTCCAGTGATGCACAAATTGAAAACATTGTACCACACAATCGATGCTATGGTTGTGCACTAGCCTCCACAGAACAATGTTTGACACTGCTTCGCGCGATGGCTGTTAACATGGATTGTCGTAAAGGTCTTTGCGAACAAGGTCTTGTCGAAGAGCTCGCTCAAAATAATCTACGCAGAGGAACTACACAAATTCAAGACGAAGTATGTTTGAAACTATTCAAAAACAAAATTGTCAAATTAAAAGTGATTAATTCATTGTGATTTATTTTTAATAGGTTCGTAATCTATTATGTTTGCTGACAAAAGAACTACCCGAACCAACACAGAATTTGTGCAGCCTTATTCATAATCGTGTTAAATTGGCACTGAGTGGAATAATCCCATTGGCCAATATTGATACGGCCGTCCGACACGAAATGGCGTTGCTCGAATCGCTTGTTTCACAAAACGATTCATGCTGGGAACAAAAGTTACGCGTTGTTCTCGAGATATTCTTGATGGCATGCCGGTAAGATATATTTTTTTTTAGATTAAAACTCGAAATTAATTGTCGGTGAATAACATTGCATATTTTCATATTACAGAGATGCTCGTGGGCCGCCGGCTGCTATTTTACAACCATCATTACGAATTTTGGAAAATTTGATATCACCAAAAACAATTGCAACCAAACAACCATCGACTGAGGATACGTACATCGTGAAAGTACCAAGCGATGGACTCACGGTAAATGCTAAAAAGTGGCTGCAAGGCGACAAAATGCATTCGTACGATGAATGGAAATCAAGAATGCCACAGACAAGAGATAAGGCCGATTCAAGCACAGAACCAACGATTGGACCGCAACCAACAGCCGAACAAAAGTCATTGCGTTCATTCATTTCGATTTTGGAAGAAAAACGTCGTAGCGATCATCATAAATTTTTGGCTGAAAAATACGGACGAATTTGGCGCCGTAAAACACTTTTAAAACCATTCAAACCGCGTAATCTATCGCTAACCGCCTCATGGCTGCAACCAATTCTTTTCAATTCAAATTCACGCATGGCACGTCAATTGGCCTGTGCATTGATTCCATCGCTGATTAATAAGACACATGAACGAAAAAGAGAAATGCTCGATTTGCTTACCGGCTTCCTGAAATACATTGGTGAGGCTGGCGAAGCGAGTGAAGAATTTTTGATTTTATATCGTTGCTTGGCCGAAGACACACCATGGCGTGAATATCTGGTGCTGAAAGGTGTACTAACACATATCGCCGATTTGCTCAAGAGTGAAATTGAAAAGATTCATCGCTTGGAAGAAACAACACTCTCATCAGATCTGGCACAAGGCTATGCGCTACGTCAACTTGTCGAATTGCTTGCAATGTTTTTGGACAAACCGAAAATTCGACAAGTCTACAAAGGAAAACTACTTGGACCCGTGTTACAAGGATATTTGTCGCTACGTCGTTTGGTTGTTCAGCGAACACGTTTGGTTTGCGATGCCGAGGAGAAATTATTAGAAATGTAATTATTTTAGTTTTCAATTCAAACAGTTTGTTTCAAAATTAACTAATTTTTTCCCTTGCAGGCTAGAGGAAATGACCACCGGCACCGAAGAAGAGACCCGGGCCTTCATGTCAGTTTTAATCGATACCGTCAGCGATACACCATTGAATGACATTAAAACACCCGTCTTTATTTTCGAGCGTCTCTGTTCAATTATTCATCCGGAAGAAAATGATGTGGGCGAATTTTTCTTGACGCTAGAAAAAGATCCACAGCAAGAAGATTTCTTGCAAGGTCGAATGCTCGGCAATCCATATCCATCAACTGAAGCCGGTTTGGGTCCGTTGATGCGTGATGTCAAGAATAAAATCTGTACCGATTGTGAATTGGTTGCATTGTTAGAAGATGATAATGGAATGGAGCTTCTGGTTCAAAATAAGATCATTAGTTTGGATTTGCCTGTGAAAGAAGTGTATAAAAAGGTCTGGCTAACTGAAGGGGGTGAACGTGATACGATGCGAATTGTTTATCGAATGCGAGGTTTGTTGGGAGATGCAACCGAAGAGTTTATCGAAACGCTCAACAATAAAACCACGGAAGAGGTCGACATGGAAGCAAAGTATCGAATGGCAAACGTTTTGGCCGATTGTGGAGGGCTCAAAGTTATGTTGGATCGTATCGGAAGTCTGACTAGTGTAACACGTTCTCGCCAATTGCTTCAAGTTTTGCTTAAACTATTTTTGCTTGCCGTAAAAGTGCGACGTTGTCAAGAGGTGTTGTGTCAACCGGAACTGAATGCCATCAACACGTTGCTGAAAGTATTACAATTATGTTTGCAAAGTGAAAACGATTCACAGCAATCGGCCGTTACCGAGCAACTACTCGAAATAATGGAAACAATTTTAAGCAAAGCAGCAAGTGATACACTCGATTCATTTTTACAATTTTCATTGACATTTGGCGGACCGGAATATGTGACAGCCTTAATCTTCTGCACAAATTGTGCCAATGTTCGCAATAATCCATCCGTTTTGCGACATTTGATCCGAGTATTGGCAGCATTAGTCTACGGAAATGACTTGAAAATGGCATTACTATGTGAACACTTCAAAAACACATTAGATTTCCACAAATATGATACGGAACATATTCCCGAAGAAGATTTTAAAATGGAACTGTTCTGTGTACTAACCAATCAAATTGAACATAATTCAATCGGTGGCACACTCAAAGACTATATTATGGGTCTTGGTATCGTTGATAAGGCACTCGAATACATAACATCAAATGCACCATGTGTTAAACCAACATTGCTACGTACTGATTCAGATGATTTGAAAGAATTTATTTCAAAACCATCGTTGAAATACATTCTTCGTTTGTTAACGGGATTGGCAAAGAAACACGAAGCGACACAGGTGACCGTATCAAAAGATATCATACCGATTATTCATCGATTGGAGCAGGTTTCGAGCGATGAACATGTTGGCAGCTTGGCGGAAAATCTTTTGGAAGCATTATGCACCGATCCAGCGACCGCAAAACGTGTACAAGAAGTTCGAGATTTTACCAGAGCGGAAAAGAAACGATTGGCAATGGCAACGCGTGAAAAACAATTGGATGCATTAGGTATGCGAACGAATGAAAAAGGACAAGTGACCGCCAAAGGATCGATTTTACAAAAAATCGAAAAATTACGCGAAGAAACCGGCCTTACATGTTTCATTTGTCGCGAAGGTTATGCATGTCAACCATCAAAGGTGCTTGCCATCTACACATTTACAAAGCGAACGAATTTAGAAGAGTTTGAACTAAAAGCACGCAAAACTCTTGGCTACACAACGGTAACACATTTCAATGTTGTTCATGTCGATTGTCACACATCGGCCATTCGTTTGGCACGTGGTCGTGATGAATGGGAAATGGCCAGCCTTCAAAATGCCAACACAAAATGTAATGGTCTCTTGCCATTATTTGGTCCAGATATTTCGGAAATTAACTTCCAGAACAGCATCAGCCGTCATAATGCATACATGCTTGAAAGTACTCAACGATGTGAAATCAGCTTCGCCAATAATATGCACGATTTGAAATTGCTCCTCATGCGATTTGCATTCGAAAAAAGTTTCCATGAGGTAATTATTGCTAATATCCTGCGTATGAGAGCGTTTGGTAGTATTTATTTGTTACTTATTGAATTTATTAATTTCTACATTAGGATGCTGGCGGTGGTGGTCCACAATCAAATATGCACCTCGTACCGTATTTGCTATTTTATAGTATTTACACATTGCTATCGTCGAGATCAGCGCATGAAAAGGCACTGTCTACCTACTTGGAGCAAGCGGTTTCGGATCGTTGGCTTGCCAGTGCATACGAAGTGGAGGGACCGTTATTCCAAATTACAATGTCCTTGGCATTGCATACACCAACCGTTTGGAAACGACACCGTATTCAACATCTCAAACGTAAGTGCAACAAAATATATAATTTTGGACAATTTTAGGTTTCTAACGCCTTTTGAATGTTATAGGTTTATTGGTTATTGCACAAGCAAGACATTGCAGTCGTAATGTTGCATGCAAAACACTCAGCGGATCAGATCGTCAAGCAAAGGAGTACAGCATATACAAACCGTACTTGATGATGTGGTCAATGGTTGATTTGGTGTACACAATGTTCAAAACAGTCAGCACACCAAAGCCAGAAGACTGGTCTATCTCACTGTTTGACTACATACGTCGCAATGATGAAGCCATGCTAAAATCGGCCGACTCAATTCTTGAGACCTTTACAGATGAACATTTGCCATGCACTTCATTCGCCGAATTTTGCGATGTTGCTGGTAAGTAGTACAAAATCATATACATATGCATTTAAATATACCATCTTATTTCATTCAATCTAATTTCCAATCACAGGTTTGCTCAACGACATTGAAAATCCCGATGAATTCTTGAATGAATTGATTCAATCGCTACCCTAAATGAAAATCATATTCAGATGATCAATGCTATCGATAACAACAATATTTTAATATAATCCAATTTATTCACAATCAATCATACTATACTTTTAATTGCACGTAATTTGCGCTTATAAAAACCCAGTGTCACACATTTTAAAATGCATTTCATTCAATAAAAATAAAAACTAAATAAAACACACATTTTAAATCATAAAAGACGTCTATTTCTTTAATATATATTCTTTCCTCTTCAAAGAAACATTACATGTATGTATCAACAAATGCATTTATTTCTTTTCTAAATCTGGTTGACTCGCGTTTTCGTCTTTGCTTTCGATCGTAGTTTGTTCTAATTTTTCGGTTATTTCATCGACCGATTCTGTGTTGGCTGTATTTTCCACTGTTTCTTGATTCAAATGAGCATACTTCTTTCGTTGGTATTCCTTCTTTGCCTCATCAAGTAAAACATTATGAATGAAATTACGATTAACGCTCAGTGTTGGTTTTAAATCAGGATATGGATTTCCTCGAAGCTCAAGAACGGCACGATCCCAGTAGGTGATGTCCGGGTATGTTTTTGGTGCTTTGTACATCCGTGTATAAGAGAGTGGACAATTTTGCAAGCGTGGAACAATCACTTTGAATAATTTATGAATGTATTGCTTCTCGGTAATCCAAAAGTTAGCCATTTCCATGGTGGGAGCATGTTGATCACCATACCGAATTGCATCCGATATTAACTGGATATTATGAAATAAAAAAATATTGAGGTTATGTACATTAGTTAATGGTGAAAAAAAGAAGTCACAAACACTGATTCCCTACCCGTTCAGCATAACCGCGAGATTCATCGGCTTTGGGATAGTAGCATTCAATACGTTCGTATTTTATCAATGCCGTCACATAATCTCTTAGGCGCTCCAGTCTTCCCAGCGGACCTCTGATATTGGGCAGTCGTTTTTTCGGATGAACTTGAAACCGAAGTCTCGATACTAGCTTAGCTATGTCGGCTTGATTCATGGTTGAATGTTACTAGTTTGCGTTGATATATTTTAAAAATTCTAATGCAATACGACGAATTCAAATCGAATCCACCTTTTCCCTTTGACTGTGTTTTCAATGTGATTTAAGTTTGTGTAGTTGGAAATGTCAGCTATTTGACAGACACTACTCTCAACATTGACAATTGACAATTCTTTCAATTTCGAATAATCAAATTTGAGTTTTAAAATGCTAAGCAGTGAAATTCAACTATAAATTTAAATATCAATTTTTTCTTTGCAATTTCCAAAAAATTTAAAATTATTTTCAATTTAATTCTTTTAAAAATGTAAATATTATTTGCAAGTGTCAAAACTTTACAAAACCGCTTTTCGTTTACATTAGACGCATTCACAGCTCAAATGTCATTACAATGTTCCGCCATCTTTAATGAAGCTTCATTGACAAACAATTTTACAGAACAACTCAAGAAGACATTGCATCGTTGGGAAATTGATTGAATAAAAAAGTGTAAAATTGGTGCGAAAATATAATTTAATAAAATTAACACAATGGCTCTACGTACCTACGGCGATAAACCATTGAGTTTTCAATTGGAAGAAAATGGCGAATACTATTATGTTGGATCAGAGGTAAAATAAACATACATTCACACGGCAAAGTAATCAAGATGCCGATTTCATCAAAAAGTAACTAATTGTATTGTGAAAATTATGTGTTTTAGGTTGGAAATTATTTACGGTTATTCCGTGGTTCTTTGTATAAGAAATATCCGGGAATGGCCCGAAGAACTCTTACAAATGAAGAACGAAAACGTTTGATCGATTCCGGTTTGAGTAGTCACATCTTGGCAAGTTCGGTGTCATTGTTGAAAGCAACTGAAGTCGACGATATCATTGCTGGAAATGATGACAGATTCAAAGCCGTTTCTGTACATTCAACTGATCCACCGTTGCGTGAAAGCAAATCGAATAAAAAACCAGCATCTTGGGTACCAACAATGCCAAACTCAAGCCATCTCGATGCAGTACCACAAGCCACACCAATCAACCGGAATCGAGTGCATTCGAAAAAGATTCGAACATTCCCGATGTGCTTCGATGACACCGATCCAATATTAAACTATGAGAATGCCAATCATTCGGAGGTATTGGTGCCGATTCGCCTGGATATGGAACTGGAAGGGCAAAAATTACGAGACACATTCACATGGAATAAAAACGGTAAGGATTTGTGTGGCAACCCATTCAAGTGAAGCAATTTATTAAATTCAATTTTTGATGCTATTTTCAGAGTGTATGATTACACCAGAACAATTCGCTGAAGTGTTATGCGATGACTTGGATTTAAATCCAATTCCATTTGTGCCAGCTATTGCAGCGGCAATACGACAACAAACCGAAGCGTTCCCAAGTGAGCCGATCATTGAAGATGGTATCGATCGAGGCATAATTACTTATATATTACTATTCCATTACTCCACAATTCCTGATCAATTACTTATTGATTAATTTCCATTCTATTCTTTTAGGTATCGACCAGCGTGTTATTATTAAATTGAATGTACATGTCGGAAATACGTCGCTCGTTGATCAAATCGAATGGGATATGTCTGAAAAATCAAACAATCCCGAGGAATTTGCAATAAAACTGTGCGCTGAATTGGGATTGGGTGGTGAATTTGTCACAGCCATTGCATATTCAATACGCGGCCAACTATCATGGCATTATCGCACTTATGCATTCAGTGAAGCTCCATTAGTTACAGTTGAAATGCCATTCCGTGGAACAAGCGATGCCGACCAATGGGCACCATTCCTCGAAACTCTAACCGATGCCGAAATGGAAAAGAAAATCCGAGATCAAGATCGTAATACACGACGAATGCGTCGTTTGGCCAACACAACGCCTGGTTGGTAAAAACGTTATATAACGCTCATAAACATAATAATAACAAAAACATTAATTTTACGAATATAATGATAACAATTCAGATAATATCGACATTTGTATTTTATGACGTGACTCTATGTATTAGTTATGTAGACTTCAAAGGGAATAAGAATAAACAATGAACAAGAGAATACATTGTATTTATTTATCATTTACAATTCAAGCATTTCAATAGAACAGATAACTGAAAATTCATAATCTTTTACAAAATTCAAAGGACGTAGAATTTGGATTGCTATACGAACACATATGCGCATATACATACGTGTAGTTCTGGCAATTGGTTAAAAGATGGCATTGAATTGTGATTTCTCTTGGATTAGTAGAGATAGACACGAGGCAGCTGCTAGTGTCCCTGTCTCACTTTGTCACCCACAGAGAATACGAATGCTATTTTCGTTCAAAATGGCACGTAAGCACATTTCTCCTCGTTATTTATATTTTTAACTGGCAGCCGGTCTCTTTGTCTCGCTATCTGCGTCACATGTTCAAAGAGGTATGAGCGAAATAGAAAGCAAATGTGTAATATTTGTTTGCACATGTACTTTAGATACGTGCATTTCCCCACTCGAGTCTATACACTCGTCGTACAGAGAGAAAAGTGTCGAAACTAGTCTACCGACAAGTCGACTTCGTGCTGAAACGTGCTCATTCGTGTTGGACAGTTCTTAGCGATTGCAAGCAATTTAATAAAGCGGAAAAGAAACACTAAATTAAAGAAGAGAAAAAAAACGATTTGAATATTAGCGCATAAGAAAAGTGTTTAAAGGCAGAAATAATTGTGAATGTATTTGTTAACAAATACAAGCAAACAAAATTGATTCAAAGTGAATTTATCAACTTTGGTATAAATATCGCCGTAGAGCAGCAAAGTGGATTCACTGAATTTCGTGCATTAAACGAAGCAATTTAAAGTCATTTCACTTGTGCATATTCCAAGCATTCACGTTTAGTTGTGCAATCAATACAGCAACTTAAAGAGTTAACGACAGTTCACTTTTACCATACATTCAACGGTGACATTAAAACTGTGCAGTGCACTCGCATAAATGCTCTGGAATTTTCCATTGTCACGGTAAAGAAAGTGTACGTCTACATTTCTATCCAGTTACCCCAGTCCGTTTGTGTAAACGGAATTTTAGACGAAGAACGATATTTCATCGCATTTTTTTATTCGTCTCATAATAAGAAAGTCACAATCAACATTATTCGCAATTATTTTCATTTTAACGAAAAATAATTGAGTGTGTGTCTACGGTTTATTTCGACCCAAAAACGGTATTTATCGATTTTCTCCATCACCATTTGACATCGATTAGACGATTTTTGCCATTCAACGTACACAGTACATATAGTTTGTGAGTCTTCAGACAACAGCAATTGAATAAACTTCGCATCAAAAGACGATTATTTGGCGGCATAACGGAGCATTACAGAGTTCGTGGAAAATTACAATTTTTGCATAAAATTAGTTTGGGAACGCAGTAAAAACGATAAAAAAATTATCGCTACTTGTAATATTTTACATTGAAAACGACGTTAAACACAACGACGTCAAATTGTGAATTCAAATTTTATTGCAATAAATTACCAAATCGAAAAATCCGTAAAAATGGCTTTCATGATGCCTGTTATGAAAAATGAGTTCGACATCTATAAAACAAGTCGTTCACGCAAAGAATCCGATTGTTCAAACAATTCGAATGCATGTCGATCACGAAAAGTGTCCGAAACGCGTTCCGAATGCCCAAGTTTATCAACATCACCCAGCACAATTGACTATCATCGTAGCTTCATAAATCGCAACAGTTCGCGGGCATTTTCACGTACATCATCACGTACATCACAAAGTTCACTGACAAGTCCGACAAAACAATGCAGCCCACCAAAACCATCAACGGGAAGTCAAGGCAGCCTGAATAAGTTTCACGTTCGTTTGGTGGACAAACTTCGCAAATCATTTGGTAAAGGACGGACCGAAGACAGGTCCTGAAACAGAAACGATGACGACGACGATTATGATTCAAATAATCATGACATTGATGACGAACTGTTATCAGCAACTTTAGTAGCAAAACAAACGACATTAGCATCATCCCATCAAAACGATTCAACAGCAATAACAAAACCCCTGAAAAAACTATCAATCTCATCGGATTCATCGGTTAGTAACGATGGTGGTCTTGGATGCTCTGACAGCGTTCTGCATGTAACAAGCAGCTCGAAGCCACCTTTGCCGACGACAACACATCGAAATCGCAGTAGAAGCATCGAAACGGCAGCTATTAAGGTGACCTATCGACACAGCACTGGCGGTAGATTGTGGAGTCGACACTTTAGTGTACATAATAACAGTGTTCACGATTACGCTGAAGCATCCAAAATTAAGAGGTAAACAAACAAGTACAGAAAGAAAGAAAGAAAAAAACGCAGCATTGAGTGTGAAGGAAATGTAAATGTTTGCAAACATCACGAAACCAAAGTGGCAACAATATTTTGTGCTACAATAGACATAATGTTTCTGATACAAAGAAATAGCATCAAAATAAAATGCTTTGTGTTTCTGATTTTTCGGTGTAAAATCGATAACGCTTAGATATGAGCAATGTTAGTTTTCGATTAAATCTCACCTGGCAATCGATTGCCAACAAAATTAACGAAACAAATAAACAACATGAAAATAGCATAGGCCGGCAGTCGCCGTATAAAATGCTCTGTAATTTTTTGAATTGAATGTAAGAACCAAATTTAAATAATTATATAGAGACATAAGATGATAATCACGCTTTACGTATTTGCTTTTTGGCAACAAACAGTGTTTCAAACACCAATCAAATCAAAACCGCATATAATATATTTATACTAATAGTAATTACATATAGAATGTTGACGCTTCAGTAAAATGTTTGAAATTATTTTAACCGACCACAAACAAGAAAAAGTAATATTCATTTCATTTGACAACTGTTGTTAGAAACGATAGACATTTGAAAAAAACAAAAAACTAATAAGACAAGCAAAATGTTAAACACAATTTTTCGATATGTAATTCTCGTTCTAAATGCAAAAAAAACTTTAACAATATTAATCAAATCAAATTACTATTCGAATTAAATCAAAGATACATACAAAAAAAATGACAAATGCATTGTTTTTTCCTTCTTAATGCAATATACATACGTTAAGTAAAAAGTTTGAATCATATCGAAACAGATGATGATAATATGCATATTCATCAACATGAGAAAATTAAGCAGTATTTGCCTCAAATTCTAAAGCTAAGAGCAAATATTTGAAAAAAAAAAAACATATACACATATTTCGCACATCGTCGCGATGTAATATTTTTCAAATTAATACAATATTTTTGTTTGCAATGACGTCAAACGCATTGACGATAAATGTACCGAACATATCAGCTATGGCAACATATGATGAGCTGTTCGTAAATTGTTATCAACGTTAACAGCGCGATTCGATTGCGAGACGGAAATGATATCGTTGATTTTCTATTGCACGTGATTTCAATACATTTGATGTCATTCCTATTTAACTGCGTTGAATGAAAAACGTTTGCTTTACTGTTAGTTAGTGAACGCAAACAATGTCGCCAATTTTCATAACATTGTGCGTGCCAATTTCACAATATTGTCAGTTACAAACAGGTGTTCGCCTAATTTGACTTCATTGTTTCTTCATCCCACGTAAGCAACTTTATTGGATGCTTTTTGTATTGCGCAAATATTGATGTTTGTTTGCTATCCAATTTCAAAATTATTTTGGCATTTTTTGTTTGTTGTAACGAATATCATACAAACTAAAACTCGTTAAGAAAATTCGACGAATATGATCGTGAGACCCAGACGAACAAAAGAAATAACGAAACGAAACGAAAAAAAAACTTAATTTACTGCACACAAAAATAAAATGCCTTACCAAGACCAGTTTGTCTTGATAGCCTTATTTTCCCATATTTGATTCTATTTATATATTTTTTAGTAGAAAAAAAAACAAACAAATATTTTACTGATTTGTTCGGAATATTGTTGAGATTGAACTTTTTTTTTGAAAGAATTCGGTGGCATTTGTTCAACTATTGGAATGAATGAAACGCAGTTAATTTCAAATATTTTTAGGCAAGCTCGTGCAGAAATCGGATTGCATCGTTTCGATGCGGTTGTTTTACGTGCAAAGTTGATATTCGACTGTATTTGATCGATTATTTAACTGATTTCATTGAAAACGAAATCGAATAACTGCCAACATTTTCGACACGAATTTCAATCAGGGCATAGAATTTTTATTTCTCATTTTCACTTAGACACTTTACGATTTGCTCCCAAATATTTATTATGTACGCCACATTAAATGTTTATAAAAAAACCGGTATTGGTTTCTCATCTATTTACATTATTTTTGAATAATATATCGGCGATAAAATGTAACTTAAGACGCAATTCCGTTTTTATTTACTATTCAATGACAATAAGTAATGTGAAATAGCTTATCCATTTTTTTTTAAATCGAAACAGCTAATGAAATCTAGTGTTTTGTTAGTACAATAGATGAAATGCTAAAACTATTGACAAGATAACTATCTTCAGAATTTAATAGATAAAAATCTGTTCTAAAATCAGCAAAACACTCTTCTTTTCGACGTAAACAAATAAAAAACGGAAAACAACATCGGCGACTAAGAAATTTGATTATAAAAAAATTAATAATAATCGAATAATTCTATTTTTAATATTATTGATAATGAATTTATAATTTTAAGATTTAATTTATCAATTTTATTTCAAAATACACCAACATTTATTAAATAAAATATAAAAAAGCACCAACACAAAATGAATGTGTTTCATTTCAATTATTCATAGCTTATGATTTCTCCTTTTTCAGCGAATGAGGATAACCAGTTTTATTTGAGGTAAGATTGACTGGATGTGCAAATCAGTCAATATAAAAATGAAAAATTGAGAAAAAGGAATAAACAAGTATTTTACTTGAAATAATTGAATTTCCTATGCGAGTTTATCATTTTGGATCAGGGAAACATCTCTACAAACTACATATATGATTTCCTTCTTTCGTTTCCCGAGCTCATATATCATCTTCTCGAACTCGTTCAGTTTTTTGCAATTTAAGTTCACGGTTGGTACGGCAATGAACGGCATTGTTTCCATTTAAAAGTGCATTGCTTTACGTAACTCATGAAATAAACCGCAAAGTGTCTCATATGGCTTCTGGCGAAATGAGGGCGACGTATAATTAAATTGTGTCCCGTCAAAACAACAAAAAAAAAGAGTTTTAACTGGCTTCATTTTCACGAGAAAATCGTCCAAAAAACTTAATTATCTTTCCAAATGGAATTCATTTGAAGAACGTTTAAAGTTGATTGCCATCTACAAATTATACAGTATTCTCGCATTTCATTAAATATTATAAAATAATCAATACTGTCACCACAATACTGTGCTGTACATATAATAGCTATATGACATAGAACATACGTGGCGCCAGTTGATTGTTTTGTTATAACTATACATTACGCGCAATTCTTGTCAGCAAATTAATGTGGTAGAACGATTGTTTATCACACGAGATGTATGCATCTGTGACCTTTGATGCACTGCCTATATTTAGAGTTGTTTATTGTGTTTCTGTTGTACGTCAAGTGAATAGAGGAGCATATTCAATTAAAGTGGCAAGTCCCCAGATTTTTTATCTCTTAACGAATTTGCAACGTACTTTTTAACTGTGTGACGCACTTCTTATCATGTCCCCAGTTGGGTGATACACTCAACTTCATGATCCAGTTTATAGTTAATGTCACCTTCATAACAAACAAATCAAAACAATTCACTTTATGCATTTGTTTGTTTGGAATGTAAGAAATTCAATAGAAATTATGCTATTTCATGCCCCAATAAAATTTAATCCAACCAGATCAAATTAAAGGAAAAAACGAAAAATATTTAGCAACTATAGTTATAACTCTATAAATTTTTCTTTGTGCTGTGCCATTTTTGGTTTCTATTATCGTTGTTGCTATTATTAGTATTGGAAATAAACATCACATGTATTGATCTGATGTGAAATGTGAAAATAAACAATTGATGTATTCATGTTTAGTCAGAAAGGAACGTTCTACTTTATTTGCTTGATAATTTGCATCTATAATGGGTGAAGAATCAATAATATGCATTATCCATAAAAGGAGCTCACATTCTAGCTGCAAAGAATTACAACAATGTGTATGTGTCTATGATGGTGTGAGTTTTACAATGAGCGCATAGCGTTCGTTCACATTTGCAATGATTTTGTGAATGAAAAAAACTTGGTCAAGGATGAAGTGGCACTTGCAACAACATCTTAAGGTTTGGAACTAATGGAATTCTGACGTTTTACGTAATAAGGATTCATTCTTGGTTCAATAAATTCACTTCACATGTTCAATTATAGTAATGACAACGTGAATGAAAGCCTTCTTTCGAGAAAATGTTCAACCCAAAATCGGATGTCATTGGCTATTAAAGGGACCGGAATTTAACTAGGGCGGTTCAAAGAAACGAAAACAACTGTATCTATGTGGTGGTTTTCCTGTGTGAATATTCCATGAACAGCGCGCACGCTGTTGCCATAAATATGACCTAGCACAATTTTTTTTTATTGATCCGACTACTGAACTGACATGATGTATGCCTTACAAGTCGATGTGAAGTAAATATGTGAGAACGGGTTTTTTGTACTTGTCGGTTTCATGCCGGTTTCAATTAACAGTTCAATCAATTCATCGAATGAAGTGTACAACAACAAAAATTTAATTTGTATTGTAGTATGACAATAAGTCGTAGTTTAAGCAAATCAAATTCAATCGAAAAGTATATATGACAACGGAAAATTCCACTATCCGACATTGAACGGTGCTGTTCTTTATATCATTCTCATAACAAGTAGCTGCATGAACGCTTCTATACGATTTCCCCAATTAACTTGCATTACAACAATAAAAATGCGCTGTTTGTTGATGAGAAATGTATGATGCATACAAGTAAAAAAAAAACAATTTACATAGTTAGTCCAAACCACATAATATTAATCTACATTTCTCAAAAGGCAGAAACCAACAACAATCGCAACATATTTTAAGGTTTGATATTTCAAACCATACATATTTTTATTGTCGTTTCACATGCATATTTTTGCAGTGTCAACGCTCTTGATGGAAATGGTGCTCTAATAAACATATAATATTGCATCAGCCCATTTAAACACCATGATATAACATAACGGATTCATTGTTTCACAATCAAGTGAATAATCTATGATTTTGCAAAAGGCATTGTTCTATAATAATTTAGTGATAAAACTATTGAGCCAATCGAATAACAATGCCAAATTAGACGACTTGAAGTAGCCTCGATAAGTGACAAGAATAAATTTGTATTGTACAGTGTTTGAAAACAAAAACTGCCAAATCAATTGATTAAATAGAGAAAACAATGAATTTCGTCCGTTGAATTATAGATTACGAGTGCAAAGCAAAACTATCATTTGATGCACTACACGATGACAATGTACTTGATTTGTAAACGATTGGATGTTACAAAAAACGTCGGAAATAATAGTTTTTTGTTCCGATTATTTATCAAAGATAAGGTACAAGTGGCTTATTATGAAGAGGCGTCGTGTTATAAAATGTAAACAGCAAAAAAAATAACAACAATATCACCGCTGGGAATGTCCCCTTCAGAGAAACTGTGAGAAAGCCACGATTTTATTGCGTTCTACGAAAATGAATGAATCAAGGTCATTTTGCACATTTTGTTTTTGGCGAATGATACAAAATGTGCGTGTTGGATTTCGTTCGCCTATTTTTTGTCTGTTGACTATTTTACAAATATTTGAGCATGTAATGCATATATTATAATACATATATTGTATAACATATCGACGAAGAAAAACGTTCACAATATTCGAACCGTATTTACACATTTTAAGGATACATGCATATTCTATATCATTCGCAAAGCTGCAATATATAAATGCGTCGCAGTTTCTGTGAGTTTTTCAATTTGTTTTCACCAAAAGATTGCAATCACTTGAAATTCTTACAGAAATCAAGAGAATTTTTTGATATACTTGATTGCCAGCACAACGTTATTTTTAACAGTCGAATGATAATTGGCAGTTTTTCCAAATATTTGATGCGCTTTTCAAGCTCAAAATAGAAATGGTTAGGAATGTAAATATTAATAATAAATAGGCTGTGGAAATGTGATCAATTCTTTGAAATTCTGCATCAGCTTGAAAGAAATTCAAATCAAGCATCTACAGAAAAATCATTTCAAATATTTGATGGAAAACCAATTAATTTACGAACTATTTTTTTCTCTTTTGAGTGATGAATATTTCCTTTAAAAGGCTTACACTTCCCTGTGCCCATGTATACTTCTTATTAATGAGCGAAATACGGACACTATTGACGTGTATACTGTATATGGAAAGTTTTCCTAAACAAAAAAGGAGAATATTCCATTTTCACAGTCTCACTAAACATAGAGTACGACATTCCATAATTCTATACAGAGAAACGTTAATATAGACATTTAATTTATGAATCACATCTGCTGTGCAGCGTTAGCTAAGTCAACGAATCTAGATGCCATTGGTGTTGTCGTTTAAGTGCGTCTAAAAATAAACGTAAAACGTTTTTATTCATACAGCGTACGTTGTCTCTGTACTGACCATGGGAAATGCCGATAAATGTCTGTTTTTATTCAAAGATTTTTAATATAGAATTGCAAAGTGATGCGCCCTAGCAAAATTGTGCAGGCTTGTCGTTCTATTGTTGATATCATTTTCCAGTCTAAATAAAGCTTTTCATCATTGGAAGGCTGTGCATTATTTTGTTTTTGTACAACAAAAAACTTGGATATTTATAGCATCACAAAGCGACACGAGTTCATGCATGCGCCAAAGCTTGTACATCTCGCCACCGTATCTTTTAAAAGAATTTGTTTGTCAACAGAATTTAAAATAATCAGCATCCCACTTTACTGTATTTTATTTGTTTCTTTTTTTGTTCATGAAATAAATATATATCTTTCTATGGTATGTATAAATAAGTGCTTTTGACACATCAATCGTATGAAAGATTTATTCGGGAGATTTTCAATTATTTCGCTCTATGGGGGTGTTTTTCATGAACATTTTCTTTAATACACTACCGACGCAGCCGTCGGTTTCCGTTTTGATATTTAAGGATATGCACAAACAAAGTTGTTCTAATGAATTTATTACAAATTATTTTTTAAATTTATTTATTAATATTTAACGAGAATGGAACAAGAAGTTTCCATTTGAAACTAGTCCACTTTGCGAATAACTAGAATGTGTTCAAAACAATTGAATTAAGATTGAGTATACCGTGTGTCATCAATAAAACCGGAAATTTTTGCTGACGCTGTTTTCGAACGATTGTTATAAACAGAAATAAAGATTCATTCTGAACATTTGCTTATTTTAGTTATATTAGCTGTATGCATATTCTTGATTAAATTTCGTGCTTCAAAAAAATAATAATAAACAAAAACTATATCAACACATACACGTACATAAAATATACTAAAAATAATCTAATTGACAAATTTTATCTGAATTGGTTTCACTCAAACCGAACAGCTATCAACTTTATTACGTTGAGTTGTGGCTTAAAGTTTTTTCTTCCATTGTTTCATCACATACAAATGCTTTTGTTTTTCATGAGTAATTCGTTGATGTTGGTGATTTTGTGATGTGCACAGTTGCATTCACATAGTTGACGATTCTATTGTACTGTTATCGAATTGCGTCGTTGCAGACGATTTATTTTTGTTGATTTTATTGCCAATTTTAATTTAGCCGCCGACTTTAGGCTACTATCGTATGATCGGTTGGAATTCTAAAAGTAGAAGAACGTAATTGATGCAGATTTTGAGAGGCTTGGTCGCTCAATCAAAATATAACGTCATATATTAATATATAGAGGAAATGAACAAGAAGAGTACACAAACTCATCAATCTTATTTAGAAAAGACACAATTTGGCCACATTCAACGTTCCATTTATGCATTTCCATATAATGATTTGCATTTTGCATACTGAATTAATTTCATCCGATTCGTCTTTATTTTTCAATTAAGGAAATACTTTCAAACCGGTTTTTATCCAGTTTACTTGTTATTTTGTCTATTAATGTTGATAAATTTATTTGAATATGCCACCGATTCTGACGGGTTATTAAGGAATTCCCGCTCATTTACAATTCAATTGTATCTCGTGCGCCTCAACAAACTCGTGATTTTTTTCCTTTACTTGAATAAAACTTCACGTCAACATACAGAATCCAAACAAAACCTGCTTTTCTCTAGGATCGATTCCTTTTTTGTTTGTGAATGATGATGATATTCTACATCAACCAATTATATTGAGTTTGCAAATAAACGATAGTATTGGGGGGAAGAGCTAAAAAATTCAGACACCAAAATTTGTTGAGAAATGAGGCGACTCTGAGGTGGCCACACAAATAATAACATAAATTTTATGAAACATATGACGAAAATAACAAAATAAAATACAAAGAGTGAGAAAAGAAGCCAAATGAGAATGAGTTTCAGTTCAATTAAAAAAAATTGAAATGTTGCCAAAATATACGGTTGGCCCAAGTACGATCCTAGAGAATCTCGAAAAAACCAATGAAACGTTTGTTATTATTGTATTGATAGGTTGATGTGACGTCCATAAAATGTTTTTTTTTTCTTTTCCTAAAGTAACATTGTAAATGACATATCCTTTCTCATGTGCAAACAATTGCATTCCACAAAAATCTCGATTCTGAATTAAAAAAAAAAAATCGAATTTTTCTGCTGGTCAAAAAGTTATGATTCGTCACATTCAGTCACTTTTTTCAAATTACCGACTTTGCCTGGCGCCAATCGAAATCGCATGTAATATCACCGTTTTTTTTTAAACAAGTTTAATCTTTCGATAAATGTGATTTTTTTACTTTATTGATATCACGTGTCGTATGCATGTAAAATTGCTATTTTTACGCATTGCAACCAATAAATCGAATTTAAATACGCTCACATTGGTGATTATTCACATTTAATTTATAAAGACATTTTCAATTGAGCATTGAATTTTTGGCAACCAAAACATGCTTCGAACTACGTATGTACATATACACAAATATGACCGGTGGATTCATAGCGCCGTTAATTGAATAGATTATATTGTGAAAACATTCACCATTAAATGTGCTTGAGTTTCACATTTCGAAGTCATTTCGGCATCATAACGTAAAATTATATTCAAAAACGTATTTTGAGATTTAAAACAAAGACCCAATGTGGAAAGTCTACAACATTTGTTAGGTGAATGTCATTAAGATGACAGCTGTCATGCTTAATCGTTCTATACGCTCTGTTTGTTTATATCCTGGAATTTCTTTGCTAAAATTTACATAGTTTTCATTACATTTGTAAAAATGCAGTCGGTTATCGAGCCTGACATAGGCTTCAATGACATGTGTCGAATTTGTGCAAAAGTTGGAAAGAATCTGGTTAGTTTATTTCATACAAAACGTAAAGAAAAAACGATGGCAGACATGATGATTTGTTTACAAATGAATGTCCAACAAAATGATGGAAAACCGCAAAATATTTGTATGGGTTGTGTTCCAAAGCTATTGAACACATTCGAATTTCTCAACACCATGAAAAATAGTGACCAGTACTTTCAGGAAATGATTTTATTGGCGAATGGTGTCCCGAACAAATCATCAATTCAAAGTGGCGAAGCGCTAGTAACAACAGTGTTCGATGGAAATGTAGAAGATCCATTGGCATCAGTTGTCGTTAAGAGTGAACACATGGACGTGACGGAAATTAAAGTCAAAATAGAAGAACCAATTCACAACGAAACGATCGTTTTTGATGAAAATAAAGTAATCCCCGTGTATGGTGTTACAGAAGAACAGCCTCTCATTAACATTCCACCGATTGCAGTTCAATTGAAAACAAAACGTTCCAAAAAGTCAACAACACCGTCTGGTAACAAAGTAAAATACTTCGAATGTTTTATTTGTCGCCGGGAGACTACTACGTTCAATAGATTAAAAACACATATGAAAATACATGATGATACGGTGAAGCCGTTTAAATGTTATGTTTGTTCCGAAAAATTCCGAATGAAATACGAATTGAATAGGCATTTATGTCGCGGTGAAAGCATTAATTGTGAATATTGTGGAGATGTCTTCAATTCGACATTGGGAATCATCGAACATTTAGAAATCCACAAAGATACTTATCTTTACTACAAATGCCTAAAATGTCCAAAGAAATTTCATATGAAAGAGCTGAATACTTGGCACGATACAGAGCATGAGCGATTCCAGTTTGCTTGTGAAATTTGTGGAAAAAGATTTGCAACCAAAAGACTTATCCTAAATCATCAAAAACGACATCTGCAAGAAAGACGTAAGTATTGTGAACTTCAACATGCACATCTATTGTTTATTACATTTTCATTGTGATTTTGTATTTTTTCCAATAGCTCATCTATGTGCACAGTGCGGCAAAGGCTTCAAAGATAAACAGACATTAAAAAGACATCTTATTGTGCATAGCGGTGAAAAGCCGTTTGTGTGTCCCGAATGTCCGAGTAAATTTCCAAGACGAGGAGCACTTACAATACACATGGCCGTTCACCGCGTTGAAAAACATGTGTGTCATTTATGTGGAAATATATATAAATCATCTGTGTCGCTAAATGCACATCAAAGTAGGCTGTGGTTCTTGCTTATATATTGAAAATGCATTCATTTGACTTTTTTTTTCTTCTAAAATCAGTGAGACATGGCGAACGGGATAAGGCTTGCGAAATATGCCCATTAAAGTTTCACACTGTGCACCGGCTGATGATACATATGCGAAAACATACAGGCGAAAAACGTTAGTCGAAATTATAGCTATATTTTAAAGAAAAATCTAATTGGTTTTATTTTTGTTCTCTTTGAAAAGCATTCAAATGTACATTTTGTGAAGTTGCATACGCTCAAAAGAATGACCTCGTAAAGCACCTGAGAACTCATATCGGAGAGAATACATACATTTGCAGTAATTGTGACATGTCATATAGATATCATGCCGACTGGCGAAAGCATACACTAATATGCAATCTCGCCGAGAAGCCACCAGTTGATGAAACAACTTCAATCCCATCCACTTCAACATCTGATAAAAATGTATGAATTACATAATGTTATTAATTATCAATTTGTTCTGATTACTTAACCGAATATGAATAAATCAAACTATTGAATTGAATAAAAATCGTTCATAACGTATACTTTTAGAAGAAATAAATGTCAGTTTTCGCTTTTCGCTCTAGATTCACTTACCGCATGGTTCAAATTCATTCGAAAAACAATGTGGTGATAATGAATAATTGTGTGAATGTACTGAAAATGAAGAAAATTGTTTATTTTTTTTTATTTTTCTACTTTTCAGTTTCACCAATAGTTTAATCGTGTTATGACTACAAATACTTCACATAAAATGTTTTTTTGGAAAGAATAAAACAAAACAACGACGAAATTGTACACGGGATTTCAGTAGCTTTACATATTTGTAAAAATATGAAGAAAAAAAACATAAAAATGTGTGGTCATGCCGGGAAAATTGAGTAATCAAAACAAAATGAACAACCAAAACGACTTATTAGTTAATTAGTCCAATTTTGTGATTTAATATTATCAAAGATACCGTTCGTATATTTTAGAAAAAAAGTATTCATAAATCATGTTCGTTAATTTTCATAAATGTTGATATATCAATCAATGAATCTATAGATTCAGTTAAAAGGTCAAAAGTTCAAATTAAAATATAAACGCTCAAACCGAACAAAACCTATCAAATGTTGAAACCTTTTTTTTTCAATTACGTTTTCCACGTTCATTTTATTTTTTCGTCGCAAGCAAAGTCATCTCAACAAACAAAAACACATTAAAAAAAAGCATAATGCAATGTTAATCAAATAAACAATGTGTAGTAGTTATATCGTGGTATAAATAGAATAAATGAAAGTGTCTTGTTTCTTCTATAAGAATGCTCCCCAATGCATTGAACACTTTTGATCCAGATAAAAAAAAATGTAAATCTAAACATATATGTATGTTTGACATTTGGAAAAGAAAACAATTTTGAATAAAATTAATAGAAATGACTTTGATCAATACGAAAATGAATCCATTCTATTCTAATGAATTAATGATTTCGTGCTTGTGACTACTGCCCTATATTTCTTTTTCTCGGTTTAACATGACCGGTAATAAATAATATTGCGTTTTCTAATGCAGCCAATCGATTTTGGATTTCTATAATTGCAAGTTCCCAATCTTCACCTGATTCTTCATTCTAAAATAGAAAAAATAACGCTAAATATGTATGAAAATGTAATTAAAATAAGTAAAAACCTCAATGGGGAAGTATTCATCTAATATTTGTTTAGCTTGGTCCTTGATCCTGTCGCATCCATTTTCTTGTAAGCTCCTTAATATTTCGATTCCTTCCGCATTTACGAATATCTGAAAAAGACAGGATAAAAATGTCCATGTAGAAAATTCACATTGAATATCATTAGAGATCATTTACATCGGTGTAGAGGTACCACGATTCTTGAGAACAGTTGTCTATTAACTTCGACCACATTTGATTCAAACCAGGTAAAATCGTTAATAAGATGGGAGAATGATCATTGGCTGTCTTCATGAGTTCACAGAGTGGTGGAAGTATGTTAACTTCTTTTATCAGATGAATAATTTGTTTTTGACTTCCGTGAAGAAAGAAATTGGTTACAACCGATGCAGCCTTTTCGTGCAATATCTTTATATCGCTACACAATAGGTCGCGAATGTTATTGAATATGCCTTCTTGAATGACATGCTCAATTTGCGATTGTTTACCAGCGCATACATTTTCAATCGCCTCCAATGTGGCCACCACGACATTTTGGCTTGAATTTTTTAGTAATTGTGGCATATACTTTATTACACCAGCATTTATAATCACATCGATCTGTGTGGATGTGTGAAACGAACATGTGTGCAGATATTATTATCAAATTAAAAATTGATTGTTAAATGGAGAGAATTACCTGTGCTTCAGTTCCTCTGGCGATATTTGCGATGGATTGAATTGCTGGTTCGGTTATTGAAGAGTCGAGGACGTTCAATAGTTGAACCAAGGTTGGTACACATCCAGCATCAACGATCGCATCGATCTGTGTGGAAGAGTCAAAAGAACGTGTATGCAGATATTTTTAATAAATTGAACATTGATTGTTAAATGAAGTAAACTACCTGTGCTTCAGTTCCTTTCGCGATATTTGCGATTGATTGAATTGCTGGCCCGGCAACTGAACAGTCGGAATCGTCCAATAGTTGAACCAAGATTGATACACATCCAGCATCAATGACCGCCTGAATACAGTTGCTATCATGAGCTGTCACAATTTGTATGGCCAACACAGTATCAGCTGTTTTCATATAAACAAATTATATATACATGTATGATCAATATTACCTACCGTGTTACCGTATTAATTTCCAATTAAAACATAATATTTGAATACTTACATAAAATTTCTGCCTCGTCGTAATTCAGAAAATGTTCTAGCTCCATTATCATCATCTTCATTTTGTCAATTGGTGCTGGATTTTTGTAATGCAGCAAACTTGATATTAAATTAATAATTTTACGCAAAAATGACGTCTGCAAATGATATTGAAATTTAAAAAAAACATTTGAAATGTGCTGAGGCCATTTTACCGGTTGCTGGTATTGCAAAATTTCTGATATAACTTCAGCGATATTGTGCTTAAAGATTTCATCTCGCATGTATAATCCATTGCCGCCAATTATTTTCAATACCACCGCTGACTGTTCAGAGACGTTGACCGATGTTGATTTTAGTAATTCAACAAATTTCGGAATGCCTCTGGAAATCTTATCTGATGCGGCCCGTGCTATGATAGTCAGTATACTTGCTGCTTCGTATTGTAGTGTTGAACTAAATATTTTTATTTAAATGAAAATGTGTTTTTTTTCTTACGAAATTGATACAAAATGCAATTGGATTCTGTTTGAAAAGTTAACTACCTGTCTGAGTCTAAAAACCCTAAGCAAATTGGTATAACGCCGCGATCCGTTATGTCATATATTGCTGACTTGTCTGTTGCATCCAGTATTATGCGTGTGGCGCGTGTGGCTTGATAAACCAATTCGGCATCATTCCCGCGCATATCTGCAATGATTTTTTCAAACGATGGATACAATCCATCGGTGTCGAGATATACATCAATATACCGTATCTCACTCATGTTGCGTCTTTTGCTTGAAGAGCGTGCCATTTTTGGAGTTTTTCTTACAATTTCCATTGACCTAACCTATTACAATTGTGCCAAAAATGCTCACACTTTTTCAATATCTTTTTTTTTCTTTATTAAAACGATACGAGTGAATGTTTGTAAAAGAACTGATTACTTTAAGATTTGAATAAAACAACCCACGACATAAATAAAACGAATAATAAATTTAAATAAGAATTGTATTTATATTGAATAACGTTGACATTATACCAATGAAAGCGTGTCCCTAACTAAGAAATATTCATACAAAGTGTATTTGAATAAGATGTGCACTCTCACACATCTCAATTCAAAATGTCTATAGGTGTCAATGTCATAAGAACAATTTGTATGTTGCAACATTTCTCTTTATAATTTTGTGTTCAAACACGGTGAATCGAATTCGATATTAGTTTGGCGTGAAGTTTTCTCAAAATGAGCGTTAAATTACAATGAGTTCTGCATAGCCTGTTGTTCAATCATATCAACTATAATTTACGGAATTTCTTTGAAATAAAAGAAACGTCAGCAGAAAACGTTTTCCTTTGCATCCAAATACTTATCAACAATCAAAATGATCGACCGAATCGAATAAGTTGATCGAATACCTTTATGAATTCTGCAATCTTATCAAAACTAGTAAGAAATCATTCAAAGAAATGTTATCATCAGTTCCTTGTTTCAAGAAAAGTAAGCTACATTGAAATTGATAAAATCAAAAGGAATCAAGTCGGTATTTACATCGACAATTTCTTTACTGAATTATTTGGATAGTTCACATGTTGGAAACTATACTTTGTTCAAGTGTGATCAATGTGTTCAAACATTTATATGACAAATCTCAAGACGATAAAGTATTTATATGACAAACATGAAAAGAAGAGATTCACCACAAGAGTATCGCTCAGAAAAAACGTAAGTAACGAACATAAATTTCAATTGAACACTAAAAAAACAATGAAGTGTCCAGTTTGTACAATGAAGTATAAATGTAATCTTTGCAACGCCGAATTAAAATCGAAAGATGCGATAAAGCGCCATACTTTAGTTGATTTTTTATAAGTTTTTGAAGTAAAATCCAATGGAAATGTCTATTTTCTTTGAAAAACATTGGAACGAGCATACGCTCAAAAGGGAGAGACTTGGAACTCACTCATTTGAACATACAAAGTGGCCAAACATTAAATAAAATCTAATTCAAACGCATAATTGGTACAAATTCGCCTTTATTAAATCTTTATCATTATTCTGAAGTATTCAACAAAGTGATCAATGAAAAACTCTTATTTATCTTATGTCACTGTTCATTATTTGCATTTAAATCATGAAATAGTTTAATTAAAAAATTCAACCAGCCAATGGATTTGCATGTATGGTCACACTATTTATTCGTTTTTCAACGAGCGGCTTATATGTTTTGGGATTTACGGTCAGTTTTTCAAGTTCATCAAGTGCATCAAAACCATCGATGATTCGGCCTGAAATACAAACAAAAAATATATGATTTGTTGTTGAAAATCATTATTTGCTCTTTTTCTACAAAATATTGCAGTTTATGTTGCTCGTACCAAAGATTGTGTATTTCAAATCCAATTGTGGTTGTGCGGCGTACGTGAAAAAGAATTGACTTTGATTTGTATCGGGACCGGAGTTCGCCATCGATAGCATCCCACGTTCACTATGTTTGAGATTGTCTTTAAATTCATCAGGAAATTTCGTATTCCAAATTGAAGTGCCACCTATTGTTACATTAAAAATTGAGAGTTTTCAGATTATTGAGATAGAATGCATTTACCGAGTTTTCTACCCACCTTTTCCAGTTCCAGTCGGATCGCCGGTCTGAACAATAAATCCTTTTATGTTGCGATGAAATAGAGATCCATTATAATAGTCGCTGGCGCACAATGCCAAAAAGTTTTCACAAGCTTTCGGGCAATCTTCACAAAATAGTTCAATTTTTATATCGCCAACATCTGTGTGCAGTGTAACCGACTGCAAAATCACAAAATATATTTTGAAATTAATATGAAAATAATAAAACAATCATTTTTTCTATTTACTCACCATTTTTTTGTGTATGTATCAAAATCGTTTGTCAACATAATGTTTACGATTTCAGATTGAGGTTATGTACACAGTAAACTGTGTTTGACATTCTCCAAATGAGCTGAATTTAACATTTGACATTTTACGTCAATCGAACTATTTGGCAATTGACGTGGATTGTTGGACATTCACTTTGTTCTGCTTTCAAAATTACAATAACATAGACGAATACAGAAGGGAGAAGAAAAAATGAATGTGAGTTTTATTTTGTTGAATTCTTGTTGGACCTTTTGTTAAAACAGCTTTTATTATTTTTAGGAGCAAAATATTCCAATTGACATTCACATCGGAAAGTTGCTTGAATGGTTGGTGAGTCGCCACATCGTTAGCAAGACATGGCACACACGAATTCCAGAGATCCGGAATAAAATCGCTCATGCCATCAATGATATGCCAAGTCATGAGCAACTCGTTAAACTCTTATCTGGAACTCGTAAGTAGTATACGGTCATTGTTCACATTAAAATTTGAGAGTTAAACTAATTGGCCAAATTCTGGTTTGCATTCCAGATATTCATTATTTCCATTGTGTACAAATTATTGAAATTCTAAAAACCACCGAAGCGGATACAAAAAGCGTATTTGGCCGTTACGGTAGTCAACGTATGAAAGATTGGCTTGAAATATCGCGGCTATATGAGCGCGATAGTGTATATTTGGGCGAAGCCGCACAAACTCTCGTCCGAAATGTACAATACGAATTGCCAAGTATTAAAAAACAAATTGCAAAATTCGATCAATTGATCGATGAGGCTCAAAAGAAAATCCAAGATCAAACGGCAACTGAAGCCGTTCTGAATGCTCAACGAACGGCTTTGTGCCAGAAATTGGGCATTAAAGGCGAACATTTACGCGAAGAGTTTTTAGATAAACTAAAAGATTTGCCCGGATTACTCGATGAAATCACGGTATTGGCGAAAAAAGTAAAAGAAGCTACACAAATATACGAGAAAGCATCGAAAAATACCGAGTGTTTGCCCATTTTACGTCACATTATTGAGAAAGGCAATACAACCGTCTATGAATACATTCATCATGAAGCTCCGTTATCGATTGAAGAGCCACCCGTTGACATAAAATTGACGATTGATGATAATGGAGTCATCGGTACTGCGAACGAAATCGATTTTGGAGAGGGTGAAATTGACTTTGGAAACGATATCGATTTTGGTAACGTTGAAAATGAGGTGACTCTGGAAACAGGCGATATTGATTGGGGAGTCGATGAACCAAACGCTGATGCAATTGATTTTGATATTTCATTGAAAGACAGTGGCATTACAATTGAAAGTAGCGGCATGGAAGGCGGTGTGGCAAGAAACAATGAAGCATTAACTGTTCTTGAAATTTATCGTGAACACTTTTTGGATGAGTTATTTGAGGTAATGGACTTTTTAAAAAAAATATTTCACAAGATTCATGAAATAACAAACCTTTTTTTTAACTCATCTATTTGCAGTTGGAATCATTTTTGAAAATGCGTCAATTCGAATTAAACAGTTTAGAAAATTCCAATACGGCAACTTTTTTGTTTCTGGAGGGCATGGATGACCATTCGGCAAAAAGCATTTCACCAATATTGACTGATGTACAAGCTGTTTTGGAAAAGGCTACTGATGAATTACTACAACATCTGCACCAGCTCAAACATTCTGAAAAGTAATTTTATTCGTACCATGCCTTCTACTCATTCCTCTCCATTTTATATTTGTTATTTCGTTTTGATGTTATTTAGATATGGCGATATATTGGCTGGAAAGTTGCAGCAAAAGGTGGTTTCCGTGCAGAAAATTGAACAGACGAGAAAATTACTAAAGGATAAAATTGAGCAGTTCAAAAATGAAAAGGCTGGCATACAACCATTAGTTGGCAAAGTAACTGAACAGACCAAACAACTTCAGAGCAAAGTAAACAATCTTTTTCTTTTGAATGTGAAAAATCTCATTACACTACAATAAGACAAACATATGGTTAATGTGCATAATCTTAATATTTCATCTTTATTCTTAGATTGAAGCAGACATTTCAAAACGGTACAAAAATCGACCGGTTAATCTTATGGGCGGAATAAATGCATTTTAACTTGTCTGTTGAACTCTGAATAAATACCATCAACGGTTTTTTGTATTCGATACATAGTCTCCTTGTCTTTTATATACAAAATTTGTTAATATCGGTGCTTAAAATAAAATGTTATGCTGAATTATTCAGCAAAATCTATGCAATTGGTTTTTTGAATTTGCTTTGAACGAATACTCTTTCTTTATCGATATTTTCTTTGATATTTATCGTTTTTCTATGTATATATTCATTTACACTGACTTCGAATCCAATATTACGAACGAATTGTTCCAGTTCTTCGGTTGAAAAGTAATAGCTTCGTGTTCCATCTTGTCGTACATAAAATTTATCGCTGATTTTATTTCCAGGCTTGAATCGAATTTGTGCCATGTCATGAAGACCATAATCTCGAAACAGTAGAGTTCCACCTGGTTTCAATAGCCGATACATCGATCTAAGAGCCACATCGAATTTATCAGGATGAATCGCTGATAGCACAAATATCATAGAAATGAGATCCACCGAATTTTCCTCAATCGTTTCGAAAATAGTTTCAGATGTAATGTCACATTGGAATGCCTTAATCACTTGTTCGTCGTACAGTGAATTTTGTTTGACAAATTCAATGGCGCGCGGACTAAAATCGCACGCATAAATGAAATAGTTTTCATTGAATTTATCTTCAATTAGCGGCCAACAAAAATTGCCTACACCACATCCAACTTCGAGCAAAATCTTCTTTGAATCTCCGCTCTTTTCATCAATCAACTCTTGAAACTCACGCGTTGTCCAATGCCTGTCGCGAAAGAATCTGGTGTCGTTGCGCTTATAAAAAAGGTCCCAATTTCGAAGTGCATCCTTTTCCAGTTGATTCGCTTTGAATTCGTTGACAAGTCTTGAATTTTGCCTTTCCAGCATTTCAGATTCTTCGGCTGAAAGGACTTTTGGTCCTTTCATTGATTCCCAGCTATCGGACATTATTTATATGCTTTAGAAGTTTCACGTTTGAAAACAAACTTCAGTGTTACTGTCTAAAGTAAACATAACCTCAAACTTTGTCAGAAGTGACACATACTGGGTTCGATTTGTTTTTGTTGTCAAAGTTTTTCTCATTCTTCTTTTTATGATAGTCAACTGTCAGGCGTTTTTCATTTTCCATTCATTTATTTTACCGAACATGCATTTGAAGTATCGATTGCATTTAAAATAGAATTTAATTGCCTCTGAAATGTTTACAATTATTCAAAACGACGAATTTCGTTTACAACTTCGATGAGAAACGATATAAACAAAAGGCCAAATTTTATATAGAGAATTTTTTTTGTGTGTCAAACAAAGTAATCGGAAAATCACAGCGTGTACAAATCGTTTTTGGTGTTTATTATGTTGTTATGTTTTGTTGAAGATTTATAATATTGTATTAGTGTAGTTGCCTAACTATTTTGTATCCTACAAACACCATATAAGCAATAATAAAAACTAACTTTAGCATTTTCAAATAAATTAAAACATGTGAGCACAGTGAATCGCCTTTGATAAAGAATGTGTTCCATTTTGTTTATATTCTTATGGAAATACATTAATGAACATTTCCCATAACACTAAAAGTGACAGCCTTAAATACACACTTATATGCTTTTATCGCCGTAGTGACAATGCAAATCTACAAGTATGTGAAGCATTTTTGACTGAATTGAATTGCCTTCAAGCTTACACTATTGAATTATTTATGTGCGCAATCTGTTTGTGGAAAAGTATTATTTTGCAAATGTGCATTAATCTCAATAAATAGTTATTATTATTATTATACTGAATGCTAACAAATCTTATGGGTTGCAATAAAAACAATAACATTTATATTAAAAAAGTGATGCATTTCAATATGCAGCATTAACTTTATTCACGGCAAAAGAATGAGAAGTCACAGCAAAGCTTTTGCGCGCCATCAATATGCTATCGCCTAACTCATTTCAGTTTGATATCAAATAAAAGCTTTAAGCGAAACGCACAAGTGCTTTTATTTTTTAATTTTGCATTTGAACTTTGAATTACGTTAGATTTTAAAAACACGTTTAACGGAAATCGCTTTTCTAACTCGCGTATTACTTCGAAATTAGGAACAAATTACCATAAATACACAGACCATATTCCGCATTGCGATCATTTTTCTACAAAATTTCGATAAGAAGAATTAACATAAGTCAAAATGGAGGAAGACCTCATCGATGACGTGTTTGAGGACGAGTGCCAATTTAATCCAAACAAACACTATCGTAACACCAATACCGGACTAAATTTCAACGAAGCAAATTTTCTCGATGAAGAAACCCCATCACCGTCTGGCAACCACCCCGCATTCAGAAACGTTGACCTTCGAACGACCAGCGGTGATTTTGATGATGGATGGAAATCATTTAAAATCGAAGAAGATAGCGAATTCGACGAAAGTATTTTACATAAGGTATTTTCAATATTTGTTCTATCCGAAATTGGATGCTAAGATTACTAATTTTAAGCGAAGAAATATATAGAAAATCTGTACGCATTTAAATAATACCCCATACAAAAAGCAATCTTTTCGGAGCATTAAAAAAAGCATTTCTAAATTAGAAGTTCTAATCAAGTTGATTGAATCGCGTTCTTCTTACGAAGAGCAATTGGAAAATCATTTTGAATGTTATTTAATTCGGTATTTACAGGTTATATTACTGGGTGATTCTGGAGTTGGGAAAACTTCTTTCATTGTCAGATATCATACGAATGAATTTAAGACTGCATCTTTTTCAGCGACCGTTGGCATTTCTCTGACGGTAAGTACTCTCATTATCGCATTTAAATATGTAAATCAGTAAAGCACCACTTACAGAAGAAAGTAAATATTACGTTTAAAATAAGCGAAAGACATTCCATGGTAAAAAAGAGTCAAGAGAGCGTGAGCATTAAATATTTCTATTTTTGGATGAAGCAGTAATTGGCCGTCCTCTTCACATCTCCTTTGTTTCATTTTTGATACATGCAAAATGTATGCATATTTACATAGCACTAATATACGCATTTCCTAGATGAATTTTTGTTAAAATAAATAAAATGTGTGGGTGCACTCTGCACACGGCATTTTAATTAGTTTAACTTCTCCATTGTTTTTGCTCTTCTGCGTTCTGCTATGCAAATGATGACAAACATACAAAAAAGATTGAATTTCGACACGCGTATAATTTATAGCGCATTTCATTGTTTAATTGGAATTGAAAGCAAGTTGCAGATTTTTAAAGTGAAAAATGCACTTATGATTGAATAAGTGGGTGGATGGTGATAAAATGATTAATATCCAATTATTAATTAGTTGAAGATGAACAAACCACGGCAAAATAATAATTGGGAATCGTTCTTTGTGCAATGCAAAATGAATAAACTTAATATGCCTTTCAAAAGTTATGCAAATGCGTATTTCATTCGTTTATAATGCATGCTTCAGTTGATTTTCCTTTTAAAAAAGAGGAATTCCGGGGAAATCAATTTTCTTTTGCACTTGAAATGATGACATTACTTTGTGATTCAATAGCAACAACGCAGTTCACAAGGTCGTTACCATAGTGATTCATCTGAAGCGTATCCACTATCTCGATGCGATATTATGAACAACGAGCATCGCACCGTACATTTATTTTGCATAAATATGCATGCAACAGATGGATTTAACCAATGAATACCATACATGACATTATTGTAACGAACTCTGTGGTTAAAATTATATATATATATATGTAATATGTTTCCAGAAATCCCAATTTATATTCCATACGAACGACATATAAATAGCATTCGACGCAAAAATTGATTACCATTGCACTTGAGTGATTATTTAAAATCGATAAATGATAATTTCTATAGAAGGGAGCGGATTTATTTTCCACTTTATTTACTCACTTATTGCGCGACATATTTACACAACTAATATATATGCATTTAAATAATATCACATTTGATGGTTTAACAAAAAACCATAATTTATTATTATTATTTTTAGCAAAATAATTGAACTTAATTTGATCGATACTGCAAATTATTTTCACAAATTGAAAAAAAAAAACATGACCAACAATCTATTCTTACGTCAGAAATTGAGTGTTTTCCGAATTTCAGGATTGAGTGCGTGTAAAAAGGGGGTAATTTTTCTGAATTATGAACATTTTTTCAAACAGCCTAATTAAATCAAATTCCTCTCTTATATATTTTCGTTAGAACCCTTGATTTACAATTCCAAAATCAGTACAACAACTATTTGAGTTTCAATTTTCTGAATCAAAAAGATAAAGTAAAAAAAAAAAATAATTATTCGTAATAAACATGATCATGAAAGTATGTCAAAATTAGATTCCTTTTTGCTGTTGTTATGACAACAATTTTCCACATTCTTTCACTTTCACATTGATGTAAATAGATCTACGCTTTTTTTTATTATACAGGCTTTTTTCACGTATTGAGATGACTTTATTGTTTTTCAAATGCGAATGTATTTTGATTTGATATTAAATGGAGGTCTGGCTGAAGATACTAAATTTAGCAATATTTCAATGATTTCTGGAGAAACCTCGAACCTTAGCTTGGATATTTATTATAATTGTGTGTCTGTGTATACTGATGATAAGAATCAATGGTGATGTTAAAGCTATTTTTGTAAGATATAGAAAAAAGTTTGGTTTCGGTTTTATCAGTCACACTGATTTTCGGTAAGACATATTCTACGAAATACAATCTTCACGCGCTATTGATTTGGATAGTAAAATGCAAACCTTATAAATACCGCAGATTTCCTATTCGATTTTCTTTCGTTTATCGTATTCACAATTTGTGAATATGGATATATACAAAGCCGGAAAATGTTATCTACCAAATCACCCAGATTCTGTTTTCAACACAATGTTCTCACTAAAATGATTTTATCCTGTATTTGGATTTTTGTTTTCAGGACTAAGTGGCCTTAAGTATTATATTATTTGTTCAAATATTTCGAAATTAATCAATCATGAAAAATTATCAAAAATGAAGAACCATATTTTTCGCTAGACTGCTTTTAAAACGCATTTAAAGAGACAATTGAATGTACGAAAAGACAAAATAGATATTGAATATAATACGAGGGTTGCTCCATAATTTTTTTTAAAAACATATATAACACAGTTGTTTTTTGTCGAAAATGGTTTTATTGTTTTTCAAAATATTCCCCGAGATGATCGATACACTTTTGCATTCGATGAAACCATTTGTCATAGCATTCGTGCCACTCCGAAAGTGATATCTCCAAAACGTGTGTTTTGAACGCTTCAACTGCTTCTTCTGGTGTCGAAAATCGTTGACCACGTAGTTTTTTCTTCACGCTTGGGAACAAAAAAAAGTCATTGGGTGCCAGGTCAGGACTGTACGGTGGATGACCCATCAGTTCGATGTTTTGACCGGTCAAAAATCGAGTAGTTTGAAAAGATGTGTGAGAGCTCGCATTATCGTGATGAAGAATTATTTTGCGACGGTGGTTGTTTTTTCTTATTTCACCAAACACTTCGGGCAAACAAATGGTGGTATACCAATCAGAATTGACGGTCTTACGATCCTCTAGTGGAACGGTTGCCACATGACCACTTATCGCGAAAAAACAGGCGACCATTTGCTTCGCAACACTTCGAGCTCGAACAACTTTTGTTGGGTTATCTTCACTTTGAAAGACCCATACAGTCGACTGCTGTTTAGTTTCGGGCTCATACGCGTAGATCCATGATTCGCCACCAGTGACGATTTTATTAACGTCTTTTGAAGCACCACGATTGAATTTCTTGAGCATTTCTTTACACCAACTCACACGAGCCATTTTTTGTTCATCGGTTAATTTATGTGGGATCCAACGAGAGCAAATCTTTTTTACGGCTAAATGTTCATGCAAAATTGTATGTATGCTGTGGGATGAAATGCCCAAAGATGCCTCAATCTCACGGTAGGTCACATGACGATCTTCCATAATCAGTTTTCTGACAGCATCGATGTTTTGTGGCACAACAGCCGATTTTGGACGACCTGTATGAAACTCGTCTTTGAGCGAACTACGACCGCAACGGAATTCTCGGTACCAGTTATAAATTGTCTGAAGGGTTGGTGCTTCATTGCCAAAGGCCAAATGAAGTCGATCGAAACACTGTTGTTGAGATAATTTACTTCGAAAATCGTAGTAAATCATTTTACGAAAATCTTCACGTGTAAAATTCATTTTTTTGTTGAGTCGCAGTTTACCAGTCACTGTAAACAATACAAATAGCGTTCGTACGACAAAAGGTTCAGGGCACGAATACATACCAAAACATCAAACTTTACGAATATGACAATGGTTTACATCGGGCAACACTATAAGTACCATTTTAAAAAAAATTATGGAGCAACCTACGTACGCAGCTAATCTATTGGTTTTCGTTAAAATGTGCTAAATGTTTTTGAATAAAAGGGGCCAAAATAACCGTTGTTCTCATGAACAAATCTGTGCTGTGTACCAAATTTTGAATAGGTATTCACATCAATATTTAAAACTGATTGAAGAAGAATCTAAAGCCGATACTAAGAAAACAATAAAGCACGCAATGTACACACATACGCAATTTTATAGCTGCGAAGAATGGAAAATGTGCCCTGTTTCGACTGAGCTAGAGTCTATCGACTTGCTTTCTGAACGTAGCTGCTTCAGTATTCATTCACCTGTTGGACAAATTGGATGGAAATACAAAATCAGTTCGCATTTTTCGAAGCACTCTCACCAGTTTGAAAACCGATTATTGAATAAAACGAGTAAATGATTTTGGTCTCCTTGAGAAAACATCAAAGACATGCATTTCTAATTTATACAACGGCAAAGCATTTTAATTAAAACGTGATTTTTTTGACAAATAATTTCATAAATAAGTGATTAAAATTCGCAGAAAGTGCTTTTATCAAATAAAAATCATCTCTAGTGTTTTAAATTTGCACGCTGCCATGCAAACTGTATTATTATTTTTTTTATTTATATATTTGACGAGAAAAATGTTTTGATGACAACTCAGGGTCGTGAAGAAATGTGCATTCATTGGTGGCTGTGTATCTTACGCTCATTGATGTTGATTTTTTTGTTGCCATTGTTCGAGTTCTTACCGCGCAAACAAAAAATACATAGAACCTCAGAATAAAAGAGAAAATAACAAAAGTTGCATTTGTAGTGTATATATTTCTTTTGGAGTTTATTCCTGTTATTTTCAATTGAGTCTGCGAAACAACTAAAAATACGACCAGAGGGATAAAAGCAATTTTTTAGGATTATCGAGAGGATGTTTATATACCCTCTATTCGAAGACATTTTCCAAATAGAACTCTGCTGCTTTCGTTTCCATCGCAAAATCTATAGGATAAAATTCTGGTTCACATTATATTTGGAACGCGAATGTTCTATCAAAGGCTCTTATCATCAGATTTCGACAGTTTGAATACTATTTTTAAGCGTTAGCGTTTTCAAAATAGGGACGCATTCTGCTGCGAAGATTGTCTCAAATAAATGTACTCCATGGAGATACACATAAAAAGTAAATCATTCTGATTCTGGTTCCAGTCGGGTTTCTTTCGAATTAATTTTGATTGTCTTGTTCTCTGAATCACGTTGTCGTGTTTTTCTCTCAAAAATCTCCTGTTTTGCTCTGAAAAGATAAATACGAACATAAATGCATGAAAATCTCGGTATATTTTATTTATAAAAAAATAAAAATGTCTTGCCAAAACGGTACATCTCATTATCTTTTAAAATTATGTTCGTGTAAAAAAAATATGAAAAGTTTTCAAGTGGTTCCAAATTGCTACAGTGATTTGAATACTAAAAAATGCGACTGGAGCAATGCGTGTTAAATCGTTCATTTGTTCAATTTGCCATGCATATGGAGAAAAAAAATGTGAATAGCACGTCAAATATGAAGTGATAAATTTCATTCGAAATTACACGAACTTGACCAGCCTTATTAAGTTACAATGAAAGAATCAAATGGTCCATGATTAAATGTGTCCAGTCTAGATTTACTGTTACTCAACACCTTCAATTACACCATTTTTCCAGTGGATTGCTCAAAAGCAAGAGCCTTGAATATGTCACTGATTTGATCATATAAAATTGGTTCATTAAAATACAGAGAGAAAAAAATCAAAATTCACTTTTCATTTTGATGACCTCTGAAATTCAGAGTCTGAATCACCTAGCAAAATCGTATACTATATAAAACGAGAATTTGTTCAAGCTATAAAGTTTTCAATACTTTTTGTGAAATCATTTATTTTCTTTTATATATGTGCCACATGCAACATGTTTTGAGCATTTGTTTTGTGATGAACTCTCGCATAGAAATTGGTATCAAACGGAACAAATTTAAATTTTCGAGTAATGTAGCGTGTTCTGATAAAAGTTTTATACATAACATAAACTTAACGAAAACTTTGACAAGATTAACAATTCATCGTATATTTTCAGAATTGATTGCCATAGTGAAATATAACATAAAAGTTTGCTTCAAATATTATTATTCAGTTGCAATATGTTCCATGAAAAACAAACTACCATATATTGATGTCTACTAATTTTATAATGAGTCTGCTTCACATTCAATTTGGATTAAAATTTTGACAACATTCGTGCCGCATAAAATATCATCAATCTCCGGAACATTTACTTATGTACTTCCATATTGAAAGAAAAGACTGACACAAATAAAATGAATAACTCAGCATTTAATGCGAACCACACAAATTGCAATCAGAGCACACAAAATGCCCAATCATATCGTTCACAACCGAATTCGCCACAACTACAAAATTATCGGCGAGAGTCTCTTGTGAAGCCGACGTGGCAAAATGTGTGCCCAGGCGAGGTGCCATTCGATACACTGGAAAAATTAAATAAATTATGTGAAGGTGAAAAACAGTCGATTCTAATGCAACAACAGGTAATTTTAGAAACGAACATTGAAACATACAATTGAGAAGCGCTCACTATGAGCAAAACTCAACGATAATGTATTGAATGCATTCGTACTATCGGCCGCTATTCAACGTTAAGTTGCTACGAAATCAATGAAGTTTTCACTACGTTGACAAAAAAATTGTATGCTTTCAGCAATGCGTTTGTGAGCAAATTCATAGCAACTTAACAATTGTGATTGCTCTTCTAAAAAAGATTTCGGAATTATTTGCTAATTACGAATGATGAAATTTTTGAAATTCAGAAATTCCGACAACAAACACAACAACAATGTCACTATCAGGCAAAAGCACAAAATATCGAATCGTCATTGTTAACATCAGTCAGTGGACACACTTCATACCGTGACGGTGGCATTGATAGTGATGCAGACACTTCAGATGATATGGTTAACTGGAGTGGACTTAGCAATAATGTTTCAACATCAGGAACCAGCAACAGCAAACAATTTATATCTAAAGCGGGCAGACAACGACATCAAACCGATGCCTTCGACTTTGTTGGCAAGGTGCGCATTGTAACCGATATGATAAAATTAAGCAAGCTCTCTCTGGTTGTGTACCTTGTGGTCGGCGTATATTCGTGAAACGTAAATATTTTTGTGATTAATTTTCAAAGCGCGTATCTTCCAATGGCAGAATAACATCATTTGACGCAAAAATCATTCAATCTATGAAAAATCCTTAATAAGATTAAAATGTTCATTTTTTAAAGTAAATATGGTATAACGCAGACGCGTATGATTTATTTCGTATATTTTCTCATATCACTTTTGAAAAATTGAAGAATTTTGTAACAACTGCGACAGAATTTTAAATATATTTTGCAAATTGATAATAAATAATAAAAAAAATATATATGGCCATCACATAAACACAACCAGAGAAATATGAAAGAAAATGCTGGACACTGATTTTTTATGACTGATAAAATGTGGTTTCAACCAAAACACGTCTAAATGTTCAATGGACATTAAAACATTGTATGAGCAAATTGTATATGTTTTTTTGTTCACTGCAAACAAAGTTATGATTGAAAACACATTTTGAAGTGCAAAAAAATCAATATGTCGTAAAGTGGTTGATTGTCTAGTGAACTGCGAAAATGAAAAAAGGGAAAAAAGAAACAAACACACGAACGCTTTTCGTCGTATTCAACAGGTTATGCTACTTGGAGACAGTGGTGTTGGAAAAACCTGCTTGCTTGTTCGATTTCGCGATGGAACTTTTGTATCGGGCAGCTTTATTTCAACGGTCGGAATTGATTTTAGGGTGAGACTGAAATAGTTTTAATATTCATTGGTTTTGATTTGACAGTAACTTTTTGAAATGTTCAAATTGAAATTAACTCAATACTTCTTTATGCTTGAAAAAAGATTGAAAATGAATGAAAAAAAAAACAAAACAAAAAGCATTCATGTGACTTTTAAAAATGAACTGTTTTACAAAATATTTATTTTGTCATTGTCTTTCATGAGCATGCTTTTCAATGTGTATTTATTTCTCTTTTTAGTCAAGGGTATTGTTTACTCATATTATCCCCCGTGTGTTCTCCAAACGGACATAGCTCATTTTTATCAAGTCACATTATTAGTGCACATTTTCCAGTCTACTTAATAATTAGAACATCATAACAACATAGTCCTTCAAAGTACAATATACTCACTGAAGGGAAAATACGTATTAAATTTATTTTGTCGGTAAACAGGATATTTTTTGAATTTTTTAAAAATAAATAGCTCAGTCAAGTACACAATTTTATTAAGAAATATGACATTGATTGTGGTATATTGTGGAATAAAAAAAAAGCCTCGTTTCATAAATAGAAGACATATCCGACATGCCATTTAACATTCTTCCTTACATAATTTCGGTGGAGAATATTGCTTGAATGCCATACGAATGCACATTTTCGCACATAAATTAAGTGGTTGATTGAGTAAATGATCCATTTGACGAATACAAAACCCATTACAAAACCACAATTGTAATCTTGTCTACCAAAAAACGACAAATTTTCTATTTGCACAGTGGCCACTGGCCCTTTGTCACATTTTGTGAAAATGCCTCTAGTAAGTCTTCTATCTAGACTTCTATTCACATTGAAATTCTGCACAACAGACACAATGTATAAGATCCATAAATATCTTTTGGATGAAAGTGGAACGTAACTTATTCTTCTTTCAAATTGACATCGTCTAAAACGGATCAAATAGAAAATGTGAAAGCAATTCACTTTAAGTGGTTTTATCCAAGTATTGAATGGAATACGGTATTTATTTTACATTGTTTGGGTGGTAAAGTAAATGCTAAAGTCTGATGCAAGTAAACAAAGCAAAAAAGGACGTGTATTAAAAACCAAACTGGATTACATAGGTTTTGTTCATACTTAGCAAATATTCATCGTAAAAACAAATGCGTTCATCGAAAGCCTTTCAATTGGTGCTTATCTTACAAATGTACATGTGCTCAGCCAACCGATTCTGCTGGTGGTGTGTCTTTACGAAATGTGGTGTTGTTGACATAATTGTTGAGTCAAGCACATTTTAAAGCTTTTACCCTTTCATTTTCATTCCAGACGAAAATTGTGCAGCTGGACAACACTCGGGTAAAGCTACAGGTATTCATTACATTTATTGTTATTGTTTCTAATTGGAATAATTAGTTAAAATTTTATGTTTTTCCTTCGCACGCATTAACTTACGATAGATTTGGGATACTGGTGAGTTTTTTTCATTTCTTCTTCTTCGAAGTAATGTCGTTGTTCGGTGAATTAATTTTCGTTTTTTGTCCCTTTTGCAATTTGAAAAAAAAAAGCTGGGCAAGAGAGGTTTCGAAGTGTAACGCACGCATATTACAGAGATGCTCATGGTAAGTTTGTTTTTAAAACAAAATTTGCTGAAGCGAAACATTTCGGTATGTTTTTGTAATGATTTCAAACCGATTTATGTGGAATTTTCGTACACATTAAATACATAAAAAATAATGAAATTGGAATTCAATTTTCAAGAAAAACATAATTAACTTTTTGTTTTAAAGAACATAAGTGTATTTTCTTTCTTTTCTTAAATATTTCATCTTCATTATATCTACAGCGTTGCTTTTACTCTATGATGTAACAAATAAAACAAGCTTTGATAATATACGTGCATGGTTGGTTGAGATTCATGAATATGCTCAAGATGATGTTGTCATTTTGTTACTAGGTAAGTTATATTCTGCAGTAGATGTCTAATGATTGATTGAAGAGTCCAAATAATGCGTGTTCAAATTGATATGGAATCAAAAAGCTGACGCATCGTTCGAGAGTTACCTTTGCTTACCTGGCGTACCAGTATTTGATCCATAGCATTTTAAAGACGGAATTTTTGTTTGGGATTTTCGGCACTTATACAAATATGTTATCTTTATTTAATGTTTGTAGGAAACAAATCCGATTGTCCAGATCGGCAAGTTAAACGTGAAGATGGCGAACGATTGGCAAGAGAATATAATGTAACATTTATGGAGACCTCGGCAGCCACAGGCCTCAATGTGGATTTGGCGTTCTTAGCTGTTGCCAGGTAATACCCAAAATATACGAAATAACATCTACAAGTCCACATAAACTTATTATTTGTTCGAAATTATTAATCAGTGTAGTACATAAATCTTATGTTAACATTATTCATAACATACACTTCCTTTCCGGCATTGCGAATATGTCAAAGTCATCAGTTTTGGGGTTTATTTTTGGTTCTTATCTATATAAAAACATTCTGTTTGTTTGATTCGCTTTCTAGGAAATTGAAAAATCGAAAAACCGATTCGACGGACGACGCAAGATTTAACGTGCAAGATGCGAATGAGCCTCCGACAAAAAGCTTAAGCTGTCCCCCGTGCAATTTGTGAGTTAATTACATCATCGTGTGGTTGACGCCGTTTTGAATTACAACAAATCCTTTTCTACATTTTGGTATTTAACATCAAAGCAGAAATTTGTCTTTGTTTGCGCTTTAGATCATTTATGTCAGATGTCTATGCTCCCCGCTGTAGATTATAAATGATTATGTGTAAAATGTTTGTGTCAAATATAAGCCAAAAAAGGGGTTAGCATTAAAGTTTTTTGCTTTGATAAAAATCTAAACGGATATGAGATTTAATTAACAATAAAAAATGTTCAATGGTATGTTTGTGTGCGTGTGTATGTGAGTATGCAAACAAAATCGCACATATTGAATATCCTTGTTCAATGTTCTTCATGTAAACCAAAGCAAATAAACATTTGAATTTACTCATTGAAAATGTTGATTATTAGCAAAATGTAAATATGAATTTTGATGAAAGGTTAATTAATCAAAATTACGTACCAATCGTATTGCATAAGGTACACATTCACGGTGTAAAAGTGGCTTTGATCAAAACTTTTTAGACATAGCTACACCACAAAAACACTCTAACTTGATTTGTAGCATATCATTACATTTTGGCACTCAATATATTTCCATTACAAAAAGAAAACATCTTTTCATTTGCCAAATAGCATGCTTTCAAACGGTAAATGATAAATATATCTCTACCGAATTGATTTAAATAGTCAACGACCATACAATACATACATATTAATCGTACAAATATACATAAATTTGTACAATAATTTAAATATACACCAGCCATACCAGACCTGAATTAAATTATACAAATATACACTTTTATTGTGTATTTAGTAGCATTTAAAACTATCATACATATTTATTTACAGCATGTTAATGAAATATTAATAGAATTTGGCATTTTCTATCAGCAGAGCTTGTAAATTCTATACCATAATTATTGATTTAATATCATTTTTAAGTAGATCTATTTCATAAACGCATATACAAACTTGTACATTCGACAAAGGCTCAACTTTTACCATTGTTTTTGCTACTATTTGGTGCATCCTTAAAATATGTTTACAAACAAACAAAACAGACAACAAACTGTAATATTTAATATTATATTTTATTGCTCATAGTAAATTACTCATCAGTACCTAATACATATGTTTGCTGAGTTGAAACTTTCAACTCGAATGCGTACATTTATTTGAGTCAATAACAGAGTTAACCCGATTATTGAATGTATACAAAAAGATTTTTTTTTCAGTTTTGACCCAGTAGCGAACAGCAATGATTCATACTCATCATATATGAGGGCCAACATTAAATTAAAGCCATGACACAATTTCAAAAGCATAGACACTTTTTTAAAAATAACATTCTCAGCATAAAAACTTGATAAAAAGTAGATATTATAGATGGTGTACACTCTGACCTATACATTTGTATATGTTTTGGAGGTATTCGTGGGGAAGCGAGGGGAAACAAAATTGAAGAAGATTCTTTTATTATTGAATTATTCTTCGAAACATTTCCACTTCATCCATATCCACTAAAAATATAAAGAAAAGAAAGCCAAATTTCATGGGATATTTGGGATTTACATTTCTTTTATAAACCAGAATGATTTTGCCTCTGTTTGTTTTGTTTTTGTTTCATTTATTTAAAACTTTACTTTCCATTTCATATAACAGCAGTTGGTATAAAGACAGCCTCTGAATTAATTCGATTTGAAATAAAAAACACACACATATTAATCATATCAGTCTCATAGCATGAATACCAAACAACAAATGAACAAACGAGCGTACAATGTAATAATAGACCTTTTCTGAACTAATTTCAGAGTACTTACAATGTAGTGGTGTAATGATGTAGATAATGAAATTATAATCCATAACCACAAATAGTGCGTTGATTTTAAATTTAATTGGTTTTGAAAAATGTCAGTCATCAATGGTGACAATAACGAGGTGTTTGTGTAACTTAAATTAAATTAAATTGACTAAACAAATAGAAGCTCACATTTGATACACATTTGTTTAAGTAAGGCTCTTAAACGAGTTTGAAGTAAAGTCATAATCCTACATAGAAAATAGGGATTTTGATTAATTAACAATTATCTTATTATACCTGATAGAAAATATAAACATTTTTCTCTAAACGAAAGATGTTGTAGACAAATATTTGGTATACCTGATGGTGAAACATATAAGTTGATTGATGACTTTTATTCACAACTTAAAAAAGACTTCAAAATATTCAATTTGCAATGTTGACTGACTATTACCATATTAATGCTATTTATTATTGTGCTCTTTACGCATTTCAAATCCATTTCATTGAAGTGAAAATAGAATTGTCATTAAATTTTGGCAATTTGAATTCTATCCCATTTATTTTGACTGAAATTATCAAAAGAAAAGAAAAAAAAATAATGTCTAGTCAAATTTTAAGTAATATTGTTTAGATCTTCAGTTTAAAATCAGAATATCTCCCTCACTACAAGATTCGAATTTTTTTACTATGACGACTATCATGAAGAAAAATGGCCTATACCTATACCTAATATGCATCATTTTTCACCATGGTTCAAGTCTATTCTTCTCAGAGCATATACTGAGCATAGATATATATCCGGGATATTTTGTGAGTATCCGATATTTATCGCAGCCAGACATTATAATGGAGTGAAAACAATAGAAGTGATTGTTATAGGTCTAAGTATAAAACCATTTACATTACTACAATCAATATAACAATAACTTCTATTGTTTTTACTCTATTTCAAAGTCTGACTCCAATGAATATCGGATACTGACAAAATATCCAGGATATATATCTATGCCTAGTATATGCTCTGATTCTTCATCACAAAAAGATAATGAAGCGATTCAATTTTAATTTACTCTTTAAGTAAAAAACTTGCAAGATCGTCTCTACAATTGAAGTAGGAAAAAAAGAGAAAAATGTATCTATTTAAACCAGTCTATGTATTTCAGATAGATATCCATCCGAGATATTTTAGAATATCTGGATATTTAACGCAGCTGCACAGAGCCAGAGCTGTGTGTATCGCACGTAGAATCTACGGTATGTCGCTACACGTAAAATACAGACACAGTGTGACTGTGTACGTGCGGCACTTGATACACATATACGTCGCGACATACCGTAGATTCTATTTGCGACGCACACAGCTCTGGCGCTGTGCAGTTGCGTTGAATATCCAGATATTCTAAAATATCTCGGATGGATATCTATCTGAAATACATAGACTGATTTAAACAATTAAAATACTTTTTTTATAATTTTAAATGCGGATTTGTAGGCAAGTAAAGGATCTATAATGGTAGAAAATATGCAAAATTATCGAAAATTTAAACATCGTAAACATGTATATAAAATAGAATTGTTCCTAAATCAAACATTTGAATGGAGCATAGAAGGTTTATTGAATGATTCAATGTAACTAAATAAGTCAATAGATGTAAACAAGTGTACAACTTTCAGACCAAATATGTAAAATAAACTGAATCATATTCACCATCAAATTGACTGGTAAAACGAATAATTTCATTTGGATTGAGAATTTCAGAATATCCATATTGTACAGTGCCAAGAGGTAATATGCGTGGAGTGAAATAAAACTTCACGAAAAATGTATTCACAACCTGTGAATTTGGATGAATCACGTTATCATGAAATCCACTATAAATGGGTTCGTGCATGGACTAAATGTGCTTACAATAATATGTATTTCAGCATAATGTGCAAAACTCAGAATCAGCTTATATTCGAATGAATCTTTTTTTCAGTTAATTTTGTTGGAGTTTCAGCTAAAATGGCACGAGAATAAAGAAACGTTGCATTGAAGATTGTTCTTCCCTAATTTATTTCATTCGATACTTATGATTGGAAATAGAATACTACAGTTTTATGTAATTTCATTTGGTAAAATACTAATTTCACACATGCAATTAATTTTTCTTAGCTTAACCGATATTATCTCTGTAGAATATACATTTTCTTAAAATTAGAAACGAATAATTTGATTTTTTAATAATTTTACTTTATAAATATTAACATTTTTCTTCAGGTATGTTTGGCTGCTTTTTTAAAAACAGATAGCATTAACCATTGCTAGTTATTACAGCAATGCACTTAAGGTCATTTTGTATGAAGGCTTCGCATATGTCTTTTAAAGTTACTCTTATGATTAAATTTGCTTTCACAATAAACACATTGATGTGATATGTATTCTCACATGAATATTTAGATTGCCTTTATCGTTGAACCTCTTGAGACAGTGCTCACATCGATATGGTTTCTCTCCAGTGTGCATTCTCATATGATTTCCCATTTTACTCTTTGAAATAGTAACAAACTTTTTTTTCCTCTTTTCATCCCTGTTACAAATGTAACACTCATACCAACGTCTTTAACATTCCTTCTCATGTGCGTCTTTCTCAATGGTTTGTGAAAATCCACGGAAACAACCTGACAAGTGAAATAGATTATCTTTATGTGTCCCTTTATGTTGATTGAGATAATGAATTTTCGTCCATACTTTCAAATGAATCAATGTTTGTGGTCGTACTACGGTAAAATAAATCAAATTTTTCATTTAATGTAACAAATTTTGATTATTTTTATCACACCTTGAGTTTACGGTAACTATTTCATTAAAAAAGGACATTGCTTTGTTTATAGAAATTTTGCTGGTTGATGCACCTCCGGTTCCTAACCTTTTCCCTTTGCTTCTTTTATAATAATCATTTTTTTAAACAATCGTTTCCTTCAACGAAAAATATACAATTTTTAGTTGAAGAGAACATAGGGTATGTCACAAGGTTAAAAAAAAACTGATTTATTAATTGCAAAGCGCGTCGATGACAAGCAACGTTAACCGTAGCATGGTGCGGTTGCCAGCGAAATAAAAAAATGGCACAAATTTCGATCGCCTAAATCAAAAATGGTACAAATTTGCGTCACCCGACATAAACAGTGACAACCATAATGAAGTTGCTGTGTTGCCCAGCTGTGATTATCGTCGTGCTTTGATTAATTTTTTTTTTGTAATTCGGGTCTTTCGGGTTGAACAATGACGGATTTTCTTTCACAAAATCGATAATTTGTTGCTCTTCGTCATGTCAAAATTGCATTTTGTTATAATTTCTTTTCTCGGCCATCCTATATTTTAAATGTTAAAAATATAAACAGCCGTCTCATCACTTCAGTCAATTTTGAATATTAAATATTTCCAAATCCCAGTTGTCTATCTAGCCATGGAACAGTACCAATGCCATTGAAATAGTTTTTAAATGAATCTCTGATTTGTTGGCTTCTTGGGTATTACTTTCAATCTTGACTTTTAGTACGTGGAATTGGCTGAACCTTCATATAAATACCTCCTTTCGAACTAATGATTTCAAATCACATGCCCCTCTGCCAAATCGACAATTTTCAATATTTTTTTAAACTCTCGAATGTTTTGAGTTCTTAGAGAGCACTCTCACTGGCTTCTCAGTGTCTCCACTCATTTGCACAACTTTTAATCTTGACTTTTAGTACCTAGAATTGGCTTAACCTTCAT